CCTGTTGTGCCTGCATACCAAATAGCTACCAGTTCATGTCCCAGCTGCTCAGTTTCCAATCCAGCTCCCTGCTAATGACTTAGGAAAGCAATGGAGGGTGGCCCAAATAGTTGGGCCCCTGCCATCCATTTGGGTGGGAGACCTGGAAGAAGCTCCTGGTTCCTGGCTTTGGACCTGCCCAGCTGTGGCTGTTGTAGCCATTTGGAGAGTGAACCAACAAGTGAAAGATTTCTCTCTCTGTGTGTCTCTCCTCTCTATACATCTACCTTTCAAATAAAAATAAATAAATCTTTTTAAAAAACTTTCTAAAATTACACTAACCCACATAACTGTGTTAGTAATGTTTAAAAGATAATTTTCAGCAAAAGGTAAAAAAAATCATGACTCTCATATAGATAAAAAAAATGAAAATGTGTTAAAGATTTTATTTCGTGCAGTAATCAGCAGGGGAGCCAAGACAGACTTCATAGACAGTTGAAAGAAGAACCCCCAAAGCACAAATTTATATGGAGTGAAGAATTGTATTGTAAATGGAGGCACAACTGCTTTTTCCCCAGTGATGTGGAAAGTGTGAGATAGGACAGAGTTTGCATATCCATCAGTTACCTGCCATTCCCACAGGCCCCAAGCAGCTTGGATGATGATGAGTCAGGTTAGAATCCAGCAGCCCAGGATGTGCTATAGATACTTTGCAGTTTTGTCTGTAGTGAGTAAGCGTGGCGGACTCTGTTCTGGTTTCAGTCCTATGCAACACACATTTACTGAATGCTTACTGTATGTAAGACATTTCAGAGGAGCCAGAGACAAAAAAGGATGATCCTTTTTTAAGAATTAGTTTTATTTTGAATGTTATTTTTAAAAAGATTTATTTATTTTTATTGGAAATCAGATATACAGAGAAAAGTAGAGATAAAGAGAAAGGTTTCTATTTGCTGGTCCACTCCCCAAGTGGCCCCAGTGGCCAGAGCTGAGCTGATCCGAAGCCAGGAGCCAGGCGCTTCTTCTGGATCTCCCATGCGGGTACAGTGTCCCAAAGTTTTGGGCTTTCCCAGGCCACAAGCAGGAACCTGGATGGGAAGCAGGCCTGCTGGGATTATAACCGGCATCTATATCGGATCCTGGTGCATGCAAGGCAAGGACTTTCTTCACTAGGCTTCTGCACTGGGCCCAATGTCATGTTTAGGGGGATGCACACCCACCTATGTGGGCCTCCAGTTAAAGTGGGGAGGGTTGAGGTATGGAGGAAGGTGGGTAAGGGTGATACTTCTTTTTTTATTTTTTAAGATTTATTTACTTTTATTGCAAAGTCAGATATACAGAGAGGAGGAGAGACAGAGAGGAAGATCTTCCATCCGATGATTCACTCTCCAAGTGACCACAATGGCCAGTGCTGTGCCAATCCAAAGCCAGGATCCAGGAACTTCCTCCAGGTCTCCCATGCAGGTGCTGGAAACCAAGGCTTTGCGCTGTCCTCGACTGCTTTCCCAGACCACAAGCAGGCAGCTGGATGGGAAGTGGAGCTGGATTAGGACCAGTGCCCATATGGGATCCCGGCGTGTTCAAGGCGAGGACTTTAGCTGCTAGGCCACGACGCCGCCAGGCCCAGGATGATACTTCTTTCTTAAATGATCGTCTAGTTGTCTGGAGGGTGGATGTCGGCAGATGTTCCACTCAGAATCAGGGCTATGGTGGGGGGCAAGGGAGGGCGGTGGTAGGAATTAGATGTTTGAAGAGAACCAGAGAGCGAGGGGTTAACTGATCAGGGTCAGAGCTAGTGGGGGGGTGGGATTTACATTTAAGCTGGAAGGGTGACAGAGAAGAGGAAGTGGGGTAGTGGGGTCACAGGAAGGGGCCAGCTGAGTGAGGAAACAGCCCAGTTCTGAAACTGGATGGTCTGTTTATAAGGAGGGGTCGGGAGCTGAGGGTGGTGAGAGCAGCAAGGCTAATGGCAGGAGAAGGCACACCAGAAGCCTGGAGAGGGCTCTGAGCCCAGGTCGTGAGGACCCCCTAAAGGCTGTGCTAAGAACACGACGTGATTCTGAATGTTTTTGAGGCAGAAGGGGATGACATTTTCGAACAGGCACTTCAGATGAGTTGTTTGTAGAATCTAGAGATTGGAGGCCAAGGGAGCAGTTAAGAGGTGAGCATAATATTCTGGATAAGAGATAAAGGCTTACATCAGGGAAGTGGCAAGAGAGGCAGAAGGAGAGGATGGAGATGGCAATATTAAAGTTTGGCTCCTGATTGGACCTGGGCAGTGAGAATGGAGAAGGAGTTGAGGAAGTTTACAGAAAAGGAAACAGTAGTGCTATTGACTAAGATGGGGAACATGCTATGCACTAGGCATAGGGGCAGAGAACAGTTTCATGAGGACATATCATGAGTCTGACTTGAGTCCTGATGGGTTTGAGGGATTCAGGAGACATCCATTTGACAGGAATTTGTAGGTAGCTGGAAATTCCGGTCTGGGCCTAAGGCAGGAGATCAAAACTAGATACAGACTTGAAAGTCATCATTACACAGGGGTGAGTTGAAACTGTTGGAGATCAAATACTGAGAGAGAGATGAGGGAGCAAGGCTGCCATATATACCAGAGCTGCAGGAGCCAGAAAGAGGTCCAATAAAGCAGAGAAAGAAAAAAGAGGCAAGTGTCAGGGGATGAGGAGAGACCAAGACAAGAGGAAGACTGAAGGCAGAGGCAGGAAGAGGCAAGAGCAGACAGTGGTGGAGAAGGGAAACGAGGAGAAACTGAAAGGGAAACTCAGGAAAGTGGCAATGTGTGAGGTAGAGTTAGAGAAGAGAGGTATTAAAGTTGTGAAAGAGGGGTGTGCTGCGAAATAGAAGAAACGTGGAGGAAAGGGGAAGAAAAAGACAGCTGGGAGAGATGAGGAGGAGGAAGAAATACCAGGAAGAGGAATAGATCAAAATGGGAAAGAAAGTGGAAGGGGAAAGATGAAGGAGAGACGGGAAAAGGGAATGGGGGGGGGGGGGAGAGTATGAAGGAAGACAGAAGAAAGAAAAGATGGGAAAAGGGGGCAGAAGTGAGGTGAGACAGCATTAACATGGGTTGATGCTTGGGAAGTGCCCACAGTGTTGGAAGGGGGAGAGACAGGCCCCAAAGAAGCTGGGAAGGAGATGGGGAGGTGTAAAGCAGAGAGGTGAGGGCAATGGCACCTTTGAAGTCCCATGAGGCACCCATGAGGTCCACGAAAAGTAAAGGGCTGACACATCTCTGCTCTCCGACCACCTCCTTCCTTCCTTGTCTCTTCCTGACCCTTTCTTGATCTTAGCATCTCCTTCTTTGAGCCTTTACATACTCTCTTCGCTCTGCCTGGAAAGTTTTTTTTTTTTTCCTTGATAACCACATTGCCTGCTCCTTCACCTTCATAATGTTGAAATATCTTCTCAGTGAGGCCTATTCTGATTATTTTGTTTCAAACTGTAGTCTGCCCACACCCTAAACACATGCCCAAGACTTTCCTTGTGCCCCTTAACCTGTCTTGCACCACCTTCTAACATGCTATGATGTAGAATGATTTGATGTATTTATCATCCAGCTCTTCTCTCTGCCATGGAAGCTGCACACAGATAAGGACTGTGGTTTATTTTGTTAATTGTGGAATCCCCAAGACCTTGCACAGTGCTGACACATAGTAGGAGCTCAAGATATACTTGTTGACAACATGTTGCTCTACTCCTGAATAATGATAGGATGCCCATTGCTACTTATAAGTATACTTCTACATTTCAGTACTGTATTTACCATGCCAGGATGTGTTGAAATATGAGAAAGGTAGGCATCATTTTCTGTCTCCCAGGACATATTAGCAGGAAGCTGGATCAGAAGCAGAGCAACTGGGACTCAAACCAGGCACTCTGATATGAGATGTGGACATCCTGAGTGGCTGCTTACCTTGTTGTACCATAACACTCTATCTCTTTTTCTTAGTGCCTCATTTTCCCCAGAGGTGAACTGACCATGCAGTGGCTGACACCATGCAAAAGCTGGACATTGGCTGGTGAAGGGGGATGGGGTGGGAGATAGGGATGACAAAGTAATAGCAAGGGACAGGGGCAGAAGTGCGCATTGATAAAACATTGGTGTTTGCTTGTTTATTGTCATAGTACATGGAATATTGTACCTGATTTGAAGGGAACTTCCTTTCAGGTTAGATGTATGTGTTATGTCTAACTTAAAGGCAGAATGCTTTTGAAGGTCTTATGAAGAATGTATCTGCTTCCACTAGAGAGCTTCATTTGGCTGCATCACTCCCATATCTTTCAGTGCACCATTTATATATGAGTATCACCCTCTAATTGTAGTTGGTTAGGCTTAGGCTAAATAAGTATAGAAAAATATACTCTTGTCTCACTTTTCTAATAAATTTCCTTGAACACTGAAGCACTTTTGTCTTTCAGAATAATTTAAAAATCACTCTAGGGGCCAGCATTGTATTATAGGGGGTTAAGCCACTGTCTACAATGCCAGCATCCCATGTTGGAGCACCGGATTGGGTCCTGGCTGCCCTATTTCTGATCCAGCTCCCTGCTAATGCACTCTCAAAGAAGCAGAAGATGAACTAAGTACTTGGGCCCCCTGATACCCACATGGCAGACCAGGATGGAGTTCCAGCTCCCAGCTTCAGCCTGGCCCAGACCTGGCTGATACAGGCATTTGGGTAGTAAGCCAGTAGAAGGAAGATCTTCATTCTCTCTCTCTCCCTTTCCCTTTCAAATAGTGAAAAAAAAATTTTTGTAAAGTCACTATAGGTGATTAGCAGTGTCCTCATCTTCAACCTGAAACCTATAAGTTCCTGGAAAGCTGGTACTATCTCTTCCATGTTTGGACCTGAATTTTTTCATAGTGATCTAGCTTGGGAATGAGACTGCTTTAACACGCAGATGCTATAATTCCTTTATTGAGATGTTGGTGTGTAGAAGGTGGTTATAGCAGCTGTCCTTGTTCCCAGTTTTGATGTCTTGGGATTCTTTTTCCCCAGGGGGAGTGGCCACAACAGGTCTTATCTGGTGGTGAGTGGCTGTCATGATCTCTACGGCACCGCTCTACAGCGGCGTGCACGACTGGACCAATTCTGACCGGATTCGCATGTGTGGCATCAACGAGGAGAGGTGAGGAGGGTATCAACTGTTGCCAGATTTGGAGTGGCATCTAGTCACCCTCAGGGAAGCTGCATGGAGTGGGGCCTGGGAGAAGGGTCCTTGGGAGGCAATTGAGTTGTTTCTAATATTCTTGAGCTGGCATGGACTGTGTGAGGGGCCGGCTCTGTCATGCTGTGTCTGCTCAGGTGACCTGAAGTCAAGGAGGCCAGTGGATGACCTTTTGCGAGCTAGGATTCGTCTCCTCATTAAGACTTGTTAGATTGTAGAGTAGAGCAAGGGGAAGGAAGCTTAGGTAATGGTGATTTTTTTATTTGCTACATCAAAGGGTGGTGCTCAGGATACCTGGAAGATATTTTTGGTCCCTGACCTGGCCCTAGAAGAAAGACTGTTTTGTCGTGCAGCTTTAATAGTGAGAACTGGTGGTGGGCTTGCTGATGGACAGCCCTTTCCTGCCTTGCAAGGCCAAGGATAATTCGCAGTGAGATCCTTATGAAGTGTCAGAGGAAGATGAGACTGCCTGATAATGTTTTTCTGTAAAATAAAGAGTTGGTGACACCTGCCTGATCTGAGTGTATCTTCAGTTTCCTTTACACCAAAAGTATTTGATGGACGCTGAGATAGACCACTTCCTGATCATGCTCCCCTACCAAGGGCCCTCAAAATGGCCTTTCCACTTTATGGTTGACTTTCATAACCCTTAGCCAAAGAAGTGTGTCTGGTGATGGTTTCAGTGCCTCTCCCATTTGAAGAGGAAGGCCTTGTTCTCTTATGCTTTCTGGAGTCTCACTGTTGTTTCAGCCCATTGACTTAAAATTCAAAGGTGCCAGAGAAATCACCTAGAACACAGAACAATATAGCTTTGTTGGAATTCATGATCTGGTGATTCTTGAGTCAGTGTTCAAAGCAGGTGCATAAGTGTGCATGTCGGGGAGTATTGGTAATTTTGAAGGCAAAAAGGAATAGATATCTTTGTGTTTATCTCCTTTCTTCTTCTGTACCTAACTGGAGAAGTAAGTACTTGTCTGAGGTTAAGGTTAGGAGAATAGACCTTTTTTATTTTCTTAAGCCATTAGTGCCTGATAGCTTAATGTTCTCTGCACTGAGGAACAAGTTAGAGATGGACTTAAAAGGAATGTAATTTTAGAATCTAAAAGTCAAGACCAAGGAAAATACGAAAGAATTCTTCTTAGATGCAACAAGAGAAAGGTTATTCTCCTTTGTGTGTGAGGTGTGTGTCCTTGGATGATTAGTAAGAGATGACCCAGGGCAAGGCAGGGTGGTGCTATTGATTTGTGTAAGCACGTGTTAGCAGGTCACGTTAATCTTGTTATAAGTAGTCTTGACTTTGATGCAGAGGGCTTGACTACAGGTTTCAAAAAAAATCAGTAGACAAGTTCCCTCGGTTCACTGTCCGTTCTAAATCCTTGCCAAGAAAGGAGCAGGAAATGGGCTTGAAATCTGATTTTCCCTCTTTATGGATCTTTCTCGGGATGCTAAATTACCAAAGATACCTAGTGGTTAAGATGACCTTTTAAGCATTGTCACTTCTGATCTCATCCACCTTTTATTGTTGCCTTCTCGCCAGAGTCTAGGCCGTGCCACAGCCAATTTTCAAAATGTAATTCCACCTTATTTTAAAAACCATTTTTCTCAGCTCCGTACAACTTGTGGAACTTGGACATGGGGTGGTGGGGGAGGGCAGTAAAGCTGCAGTCAGGGGTAGACTATGAGAGTCAGGCTTTACAAGCCTGCCCAGGTTCATCAGACACAACTGAGGACCCCGGCCCTGGAGACTGGTTTTGTGCTGCCTTGGCAGCATGGGGTGGGGAGGGGACTCCAGCCAACCCTTCAGTGAAATCTCTGTGGGTCTGCTTGCCTGCTTCCTTTCCAGCACAAACTCATCCTGCCATCCAGCAAACACTACACACATACTGATAGTCATGGAACATGGATGATAAGTGCCACAGGGTGGCATATCCAGGGTCCGTGGTAGTCTCGAATGACATACTTCCTGAGGAGAGGAAGGGAAGCCAGTATCCTGTGAGCCTGGGCTGGAGGATGAGTAGGAATAGGACAAGCAAAGGGTGTGGAATGTGTGTTTGCCAAAGACCCGCAAATAAAGGAAACCAGCCTTGGCCTCGCAGCAGGGCACTCTGCAGGGACTGGAAGGACGGCGCCCCCAGGGTGTGTTAGGCTGTATACTTTTCTCCTGCAAGTACTCTGAGCCCAACAAGAACCAAAAAAAGGTCCATCCAGTTGTTTTTTTTAAAGATTTGTTGATGTTTGTTGGAAAGCAAGATTTATAGAGAGAAGTAGAGATAAAGATATTTCATCCACTAGCTCACTTCCCAAATGGCCACAATGGCTGGAGCTGAGCCAATCCAAAGCCAGGAACTAAGGGCTTCTTCTGGGTCTCCCGCTTGAATTCAGGGGTCCAAGGATTTAAGCCATCCTCCACTGCTTTCCCAGGACATAAGCAGGGACCTGGATAGGAATTGGAGCAGCCAGGACACGAAGCTGTGATCATATGGGATGCCGGCACTTTGCAAGGGGAGGATTAGCCAGTTAAGCCACTGCACTGGGCCCAGTCTGTGCAATTTGAAAGGGGTGTCAGCCCTTAACCATTAGGAAAATGGCCCGAGATGGCTGAGGCCATTTCTGGTTTCAAGTTCAGCAAACCTTGCACATACCAGCCTGTAGCATCTGATAGGAAGAATCAGCAGCTGGGTTTTCAGTCTGTTTTGACCTTTTGCTCTCTTGTCCCATTCTTTCCCACCCCAGCTTGCACCCTCATAACCCTGCCTGGGGGACCTAGCTGTCACCAGGCACCCCTACCCTGCAAACTATTCCTGTCCCAGGCGGGTCTCCCAGTGAAACACTTTAACCTTTGCTTAGCACTACACACCCTTCTCAGAGGGTTTCAAGCCTGATTGCTTGACCTTGCGCTCAAGCTTCAGGGGCTGGCAGTGAGGCATGGAGTCTGGCTGGAGCAGCCAGGCCTGCTGGCACTGCTGCCATCACTGAGTTTCCTTTCAGCCTGGCTCTGTGGCTTCTCTCTCGTGGTGGCTGCCTTGGAGGCCAGACTTTTTGCTTTCAAGTAGGATTGCAGGCGTGGGAGCCCATCAAGGGGCAGCAAGTATGCAGCTTGCTCCCCTTTGTATGGTCAGCAGGGGAAAGAATGTAAATAAATAAGCAGGCCTTCTCCCTTCCCGTGTGAGGTTAGTGAGAGGGGAGACTGCTGCTGCCTTCCCTGCACTCCCGTCCTCCCCCAGAACCATCGATTGGCATGTCTAGTTGGAACATGCTTCCCCCTGGCCCAAGGCTGGATACAGGTTGTGCTTGTCTGGTCTCTCGGCAATTTATATGAAAGGAACTTTTCCTTTTCTCTCATGCCTTTCCTTTCCGTCTCTTCCCCAACACCCCCTACCCCTGCCCCACCCAGGCAGCACCAGAAGCCCTTGACTCTCCTTAGGCTCATTTCTTTTCATCATCAACAGTCATTTCCAGCACTGGAACCCTCCCATTTCTGCCAGCCTAGCTGTCACTTCAGGAGAACAATCCTCCTTCTCCCTTACCTTGTTTTTTCCCCGTTGCTTCCCTTACCCCAGGCACACCTTGGGATTCCCCATTTTTTTGTGGGAGGGTGGGAATTGTCAGCAGGGCCCTTCCCTTTTTGTTGGGGTTGCATCCAAGTACCCCTGACTGTTAACCATTTCACCAGGGCAGTTGGTGAGGGGGCTGGGGTAAGAATGGGGTGGGGTAGTGGGTACAGATGCAGTGCCTTTCTCTGGGGCAAATGGGGGCACACAGGTCAGGCCCACCCAAGGAGAACACCCTAGTATCATTTGGTCCCTTATTCTGTAATGCTGCCCTCCTCCCTGGCTGCTCCCAACCGAGGCTCTGGTGTCCTGGGCTTATTCTCCAGGGCAGGGGACAGTGTGTTCTTGTGGTCCTTCTTGCTACAAGTTTCACAGGTATTTTTCCCTTTCTATAACTTTACTGTCCCAGTCTAATCCTTATCCTCAGCCCCTAGCTGCCCCTCAACCAGAATATAACTATTTTGTAAGATTCTTAACTTTGGGGAGGACTTTTTCAGCAGGTGGGGGAACAGTTGAGTTTTTCTCTCTCTTGGGACCCATCTCTCTGGCCTTGAGCCCTTCCCGCCAGCATATGCCAGGCTGATTTTGAGCCTATGACCTCGAGGAAGTCTCCCTTCCGGAGGGGAGAGAATATGGTAGTGCTGGGAGGCCAAGGGGAAAAGTGAGGGGGGGAGGTGATGGGTGGGGAGGCTGGGATGGGATGGGTTACAGGCAAGGGTAGGAAAAGGGTAGGAGGGGGCATGCTGGCAGGAGCCAGATGAAACTGTAGAGGAGTAGGAAATGTTCCCTGGTGGGAAAGAATTAGTGACTTTAAAATGCCACCCAGCATGCAGTAACATGGTGGCCTCGAATCACTATCTGCACTGATGCTACTAAGCACATGTATCTGCTCTAGGCAGACTGATCAGGTGAACAGGTGACAATTCAGGCAGCCTAGATTGGAAAACACAATGTGACCAGCGATTTGTTTTAGAAAAGGATTACCCTCGTGGCACCAACCTCCAGCTCCCCTTATGGACTTCAAATAAGACAGCTTTTAAAACAAAAATGGCCTGCATGCCTTCTGAGGCCTTCAGGAGGTTCCTTCACTCTGTAGGGTCATGCCTTGTCCATCCTGGGGAGTCCCCTGATGGGTAGGCTTGGGTGTTGGGGGTTGAAAGAAGGTACTGGGAGTCCTGCACACTCCCAGTGGAAGCTTGCCATTTAAAGGGAGCAACAAGTTGAAGTTGGACTAGGCAGAAATCTGTAAAACTGGATGTGTAAACTGGGCTTTTTAACCCAGACCTCCCCCCACCCTGCTTCCTTATGAGCCCTTGCAAGCTGCCAAGGGGAGGAAAATGGGCAAGTTTTGTGGGAATGCAGGCAGGCAGCAGTCAGCATTCTGGGGAGGGTGGTGATGGGTCATAAACCGGGACCTTATATCCCTTCTCTGGTTGTGTCTCTCATGGCAGAAGAGCACCTCTTTCTGATGAGGAGTCCACGACAGGTGACTGCCAGCACTTTGGATCTCAGGAATTTTGTGTCAGCAGCAGTTTTTCCAAGGTAAGGGGTTGTGAGGAGCCACCTGCTGCCCACCAAAGAGTAGAGCTGATCCAGCCAGCTAAGCCTGCATCCCAAGGAAAGGGGCTGGACATTTGCTGGGACTTGCTGAAGATGGGAAAGCAATTGGTTGGCTGCCATCCATCGCTGCTTGGTGCAGTTGCCAAGAGGAGCAGCTCTGGCCTTTCAGGGGCCTCAGGACCCTTGCACCTGCCACAGGGAGGCTAGCTGAGAGGAGCAATGCTGTTTTGTCATTGCAGGTGGAGCTCACAGCAGTTGGAAGTGGCAGCAATGCCCGGGGGGCAGACCCAGATGGCAATGCGACAGAAAAACTTGGGCACAAATCAGAAGAGCGGTGTGATGAGCTCCAGCCGAAAATGGACTATGCGGGAAACACAACCGAGGCCGAGGGCCTCTTGGCACCACTGAGCAGCATAGGGGACGGCCTCAAACTGCCCCCGGGTGAGAGTGCCGAGGCTGGCGAGAACAGGGCCAACTGCTCCTGGACTGCCCTCAGCCCCTCAATGAGCAAGCAGACGGAGTGCTCCCCAGCACCGGCTGGGGCAAAGGCTTTGGACTCTCGCCATACTGTCGGGGAAAAGAGTACCTTCATTTTGGCAACTCTGGGAACTGGAGTCCCCGTGGAGGGGAGCCTGCCTCTGGTTACCACTAACTTTACTTCGCTGCCTGCTCCCATTTGTCCCCCTGCTCCTGGTGCAGCCTCTGTTCCCCCGTCAGTTCCAGATTCATTCCAGGTTCCCCTCTCTGTCCCCGCTTCTGTGCCCCATTCTGGGCTCGTTCCAGTCCAAGTTGCCACTTCAGTCCCAGCTCCTTCTCCCCCCTTAGCACCAGTCCCGGCCCTTGCTTCGGCACCCCCCTCCGTGCCCACACTCATCTCTGACTCGAACCCTCTCTCCGTTTCAGCATCCGTCTTGGTGCCTGTGCCAGCTTCTGCACCCCCATCAGGCTCTATTCCCTTGTCAGCTGCCGCTGCTCCTGCCCTCTCAGTCCCGGTCTCAGCACCGCCCTTGGCTCTAATCCAGGCTCCCGTGCCCCCTTCAGCTCCTACATTAGTCCTCACTCCTGTCCCCACTCCGGTTCTGGCTCCCATGCCGGCATCCACCCCTCCTGCCGCTCCTGCCCCTCCATCCGTGCCCATGCCTACTCCGTCCCCATCCTCTGGCCCATCTTCCACTCCCACCCTCATCCCCGCCTTTGCTCCAACGCCTGTGCCTGCACCCACCCCAGCCCCCATCTTCACTCCAGCCCCCACGCCCATGCCGGCTGCTACACCAACTGCCGTTCCCACCTCGGCACCCATCCCGGCCTCTTTCAGTTTGAGCCGGGTATGTTTTCCTGCAGCTCAGGCACCAGCTATGCAAAAAGTTCCCTTGTCCTTTCAGCCAGGGACAGTGCTGACCCCAAACCAGCCACTGGTATATATTCCACCTCCGAGCTGTGGGCAGCCACTCAGTGTAGCCACACTGCCAACCACCCTGGGCGTCTCTTCCACTCTGACGCTCCCTGTCCTGCCATCCTACCTGCAGGACAGATGTCTTCCAGGCGTGCTGGCTTCCCCAGAGCTCCGCTGTTACCCATATGCATTTTCAGTGGCCCGGCCTCTGACTTCCGATTCCAAGCTGGTCTCTCTGGAGGTGAACAGGCTTCCCTGCACCTCCCCATCCAGCAGTATCGCCACCCAGACCACGCCCGAAGGGGTCCCTGGGCCTTTGGCAGATACCTCCCTCACCACCACTTCTGCCAAGGTGCTTCCAACCTCTCAGCCTTTGCTGCCGCCCCCCAGTGGGAGCTCGGCTCCACTGCATCCCACCAAGTTGCCGGGCGGTGCTGAGCAGCAAACCGAAGGGACTTCCGTTACTTTCTCTCCCCTCAAGTCACCGCCACAGCTGGAACGAGAGATGGCCTCTCCATCGGAGTGTAGCGAGATGCCCCTCGACCTCTCCTCCAAGTCCAACCGCCAGAAACTTCCATTGCCGAACCAGCGCAAGACGCCCCCCATGCCCGTCTTGACCCCAGTGCACACCAGCAGCAAGGCCCTCCTCTCCACGGTCCTCTCTAGGTCTCAGCGTACAACCCAGGCTGCCGGCAGCAATGTCACCTCCTGCCTGGGCTCTACTTCCTCACCCTTTGTCATATTCCCTGAGATTGTGAGGAATGGAGACCCGAGCACCTGGGTGAAAAACTCCACCGCGCTGATCAGCACCATTCCTGGCACATACGTGGGAGTGGCCAATCCAGTGCCTGCCTCTCTGCTGCTGAATAAAGATCCCAACCTGGGCCTCACCCGAGACCCCCGCCATCTCCCCAAGCAAGAGCCCATCTCCATTATCGATCAAGGAGAACCCAAGAGCACCGGCACCATGTGTAGCAAGAAGGGTGGCCAGGCTGGTGCTGAGGGACAGCCAAGCACAGTCAAAACTCGTTTCACCCCAGCCCGCATTGCCCCTGGACTGCCAGCATGCCAAACCAAGGAGCTGTCCTTGTGGAAGCCGTCGGCGCCAGCCAATATTTACCCACGGTGTTCAGTCAATGGGAAACCCACCAGCACCCAGGTCCTGCCTGTTGGCTGGTCACCGTACCACCAAGCGTCTCTGCTTTCCATTGGCATCTCCAGTGCCGGGCAGCTGGCTCCCAGTCAGGGGGTGCCCATCAGGCCCACCAGCGTCGTTTCTGAGTTCTCCGGCATGCCAGCTGTTGGCTCTGGTGAAGCCGTGCACGGACTGCCTGAGGGGCAGCCACGGCCCGGGGGCCATTTTGCTTCAGAGCAGGACACAGTCACAAAGAACAAAACTTGCCGGATCGCTGCCAAGCCTTACGAAGAACAAGTTAGCCCCATGCTGCTAACTCTGAGCCCGCAGACAGGCACCCTGGCGCTGTCTGTGCAGCCTAGCAGCGGGGACATTAGAGGGACTCAGGGGCCTGAGGAATCCGAGAGCCACCTCGGCCCTGACAGCACCCCTAAGCTGGAAGGCTCCCAGGGTGCTTGTGGCTTAAAGCTGGCAGGAGATGCGAAGCCCAAGAACCAGGTGCTAGCCGCCTACATGTCCCACGAGCTGGTCCTGGCCAGCCCTCCAAGCCTACGCAACCCGCCTGAGCTGCCTTTGCTACCTCATGACAGCCACTCCCAGGAGCTCATCTTGGACGTGGTTCCGAGCAGCAAGAGGGGCTCCAGCACGGAGCTTTCACAGCTTGGAAGCCAGGTGGATCTGGGGCGGGTGAAAACTGAGAAGGTGGATGGTGATGTGGTCTTTAATTTAGCTACCTGCTTCCGGGCTGATGGCCTCCCAGCCGCTGCCCAAAGGAACCAAGCAGAAGTGAGGCCAAAGGGTGGGCAGGCACGAGTGAAACGGGAAAATGTTGGGGTCCTTACTTGCAAGAACCAGTGGCAGCCAGATGACATGATGGAACCCGTGCCTCCCAAGAAGAAATGTGGCAAAGAGAAAGAAGGCGAAGAGCACCAGCAGCCACAGGCTAAGCCTGTAGTCCGGAGTTCCATGGGGCCCAAGGTGAGTCCCTGGCGGGGCAGGTGGTGAGCGGGGAGGTGAGACCCCCTACAGGTTTGCGGAACTCTTCTGAGCTCAACTGCATGTGCCCCTGGAGTAGCTGTGCAAACCAAACTGACCAGAAGGCCTTATCAAAAATGACCCACCGTCCCCTGTCTTTGACTGTTAAAAAGTTACCTGAACCATTTTTTAAAATTATAATGTTTATTTCATGGGGGGATGAGAGAGAGAGAGAGAGAGAGAGAGAGAGAGAGAGATAGAGAGAGAGAGTGTGTGTGTGTGTGATGCAACAATCTGATTCACACTCCTTCCAAACGCCTGCAATGGCTAGGGCTGAATGGGAGCCAAAGCCAAGGTTTGGGAACTCAACCTATGTCTCTCATGTGGCTGACGGGAATCTCATTTCTTGAGCCATCACCCCTCCCCTGCTAATCCCTCTGCAGCCTGTATTGGCATGAGGCTGCAATCAGGGGCTGGAGCCAGGTATTGAGCTTAAGTATTTCAATGTAGGTTGTGTGAGTGTTTACCTCCAGACCATCTGTCCATCACACTGTCCCCTTTCTAAAGTCACATCCTGCATATATGGTGTTTTAGCCTGGGGAAAGGCTGGCTCGTATGTTTTAGAATGTGGGGGCTGATTCTGTCCTTGGGGTTAGGGAAGCAATTGTCCTAGATGACGCTGGAAAGTAAAAGAGGGTATTGGTGACGGAGATTAATAACAGACTGTGTCATGCATAACCACTCTTCATTGTCCTATACCAAGTTAACTGCTGGCCTTGAGACTTTGGGCTCAGGAAGGGAAAGGTCCTTTGGCAGGGTTATTGCTTGTACGGCAGGGGCAGTCTGCTAAGGATTTCCATGAAGTCCTGTGAGGTCAGACTCAGTTAGCTTCTAGGCTAATCTTCCTGTTTCCTAGTGTTCTCATGTTTGAGGTGGCGGATTTGGGTTTGGCTTGTTAGGAATCTAGCGGATGAGGCAAGTGAATATTCAAGTGTTGGTTCATCATAGGCTGTGGATGGTTGTGGTGTGGTAGGCAAAAGAGTGGGTCAGGAGCATGCTACTTGAATCCATTCCTCCAGAGAACAGCTCCTAGGCCATTGGTAACCCAGGAAGATTCTGAAAACAGTTGAGGACAAGATTTATTCAGCAGATAGAGCAATGGAAGTTCTGTTAACAAGCTTACAAATCTGATATTGGTAGACATTAACAAATACTGTTCTAACTGGAGAGCTGCGAGTTTGTTCATAGCACAAGTTCATTGTCTTCTTTGATGCATAGACCATTGTGAGAAGCTGATGAGAGCCATGAATCCTGTCACTAGAAACACAGCCTCAGATTTTTGCCAGTAATTTCACTGACTTCGTGGGCGCAACCCCTCCCCAAAGGCTACCTACAGACTACAGGTTAAGAATCCCTGGAATAGAATTTGGGTAGATTTGACTCAGTAGCCCCACCACCACCCCAGGGTGTCAGAGACGAAGTAAGAACTTAGGTCATGGTATGGAACAGTTGGTAACGTAATAGGAATAATATTCATTCATGTCATTGGGTTTGGTCCTGTTGCCCTCTTCCTTTATACCAAGGGCTTTCTACATATGCTATTTAATTGTCTGAACGGGAACTTGGTGAGATGAATGTCGCACTCAACTTATGGGTGAGAAAATGAAGGAAACAGGCTCAGAGGGGATAAGTTACAGTTGACACAACTACCAAATGGCAAAGCTGCAATGCCAGTCTTGTGTGCTCCCAATTCCCTGTTCTTCAGCAGTGCCACCTTCCCTCTGCTTGCCCACAACTGGCTCAGTGAATATTTATCAAGTGTTTGTTGAAACGCCCTACCCCTCCAGGCAGAGGGACACTGTCTTCAGGAGGAGGATGATGTAGTAGAATTGGTGAGGAATCTCTTTTCTGGATCCAGGCCCAGAGCTTGAGTTTGATTCTTAGTGATCTTAATAATATTGGTCAAGCTACTCTCTCTGGCCCTCAGTTTTTTTTTTAACCCATAAAATGAGACAATAATAGTACCTATTCATAGGGTGATTGTGCAGATTAAATGATGTGATATGAAATGTCCAGATTAGGGAAACCCATAGAGACAGGCATCAAGTAGATTAGTGATTACCTAGGATTAGTTAGGATGGAGGAATTGAGTCTTGACTGTTTAGTGAGTGTGGGGTTTCCATGTGCAGTAATGGAAAAGTTCCAGAACTAGATAAGTGGTGATAGTTACATATATCTGTGATTGTACTAAAAATGGGTGAATTGTATACTTCAATTGTGAATTGTGTGATACAGCTCAATAAAGCTGTTGTTAGGAAACAAATGAGGTGATGTCTCTCTCTCTCTCTCTCTCTCCTTAGATTAGATTGGTGTAAGTACCTGACACATGATAAGCTAACTTGCTTAATACTTGGCACATAATAAAGTTAGAGACTACTTTTACTGTGAGTATTATCGCCAAAATAGGCACGGTCTCAGCTCTCAAGGAACTTGATGTCTTGCAGAAGACTCAATAACAAGCGGACACCACTCTCCCTATAGAAGATGAACAGTTCAGTAGGCCCACGGATGAATGCAGAGGTCAGAGAAAAGAAGTTATGGGTTAAGGACCTGCATGCAATGCAGCCCTTAGTAACTTGTCTGCAATGATTTAGTAAATGTCCACTTTCTGGCAGACCAAGTAACTTCGTTCTCTTTTTAAATCATCCATTTTCTCAAGAAAGAAACTGCTGGTAAGCCAAGTAAGAGCAGAGGTTAGTTCACAGGTGTTCCCTTTAGGACATGGCTGAGGAACAGAGTATTGTCCTGTCGCCTGCATTGCCTACCTGCCCAGAACCTCTGCGAGTCCTGAAGGACATTCTGGATAATCAAAGTTCTGCCTCATTGGTTCTGGGAGCATCTTATTATTTTCTCATTCTTTGGAAGATGTTTCAAAACTGCTAACTGGAATATTCATTTATCTGTTCTTCTCTATCCTCTCAACTTTTCGCATAAATCGGAGTAGACAAAGTATTTTTACTTTCCATGCAGCCACACACAGAAATCCCTTCTAGATGTTATTTCTTGTTTTTGTCTGTCTTAGGGAGCAGAAGTTAATATCTGTTTTGGTGCAGCTAAAAACAACTCAGGAGTAAACAGGACATGTTCAAATTCATGTACATTTCACTCTTATTTCCACCCCCCACTTGAAGAAGTTTCTGACCATACCTGAAGGTCAGTTTTTGAGCAGCTGTTGCTCATCTTCTCCCTTCTCAAATTCTTTTCATTCATTGTTACTTTGTAAAAACTGACAGAGCACAAGGAGAGAGAAACTTTCAGCTCAGCCCTCAAGCAAGGAGAGTTCACGGGATTGGGCGAGTCCCGGGGATTGGGTAACTCCCCCTTCCTCACATATGTTCTTCCCTTAAGTATTTACCGTCTCTTAGCCGGAGGTAGACTGCGTGGGAACACCTTCTAGAGGTAGGTCTGCTTAAGGGAAAAAGAACTCAAGTAGGTTTAACTCTTCCTTTCTGGTTAGGCAGTGCTTTCCTTACTTAAACATTTTGTTTATTCCCTACTCCCTAGATCTCAGAATGCTGGAGACCCCTGCATTGTCCTGTGTCTCATTGAGTGGCATAGGATGACCCCCAAACTTGTGAAAATTGGTGACTTTCAGGCTGAGGGTGGCTTTGCAGTGTGTGAGCATGGCCATCATGCCTGCTGGATGTACCAGGCAGTAGGTGAGAGTAGGGAAGGAGAGGTAGTCAGAACTGATGCCAGGGGTCCCAGGTCGGGGTCCAGGAGCCCAGGGACTTGTTGCCAGCTCTATATCCTTTTCTTTGCAACACAAACGAGCCAACTTGCAAGTGGCCCACCTTTTAGGAAGCCCCTGGGCTGTGGGCTGCCCTGCATAGATCACCCAGCCTCAGTTTCCTCATCGGTTGAGTATGGATAATGTCAGCCTTCTCAGAGTCATTGGTAGGATAAAAATCCAATAATAGAGATGAGAGCCCTTGGAGAAGTGGCAAGTGCTGCAGTCTAAAGTGGTGTTGTTAATAATGCCCGGGTCTTTGTATTGTGCTTCATATGTCTGGGGGGATTTCAGTTGCCCTGGTGTTATGTTTTTCTTTTTGCCATAGTTGAATCTCCTCTCTGGTATTAATTTACACATGAAAACAAACGGTTTTTTTTCTTCAGTTGGCCCATACTGAGAATTATTTTCAGTTGTTGGTGTCCGTACCATTCACAGCTAAGTTATTTGAACAATGTAGTCAACCCAACTTGCAGAAGAGATGTTTTTGGTATTTGGATAGACAGAGTTGTAAAGTTTGTACCTTTTACAGTGACTTTGGATGATGAGTGAATGCAGATTCTGTAGACATTTTTAAGATGACAAAGTGGGGATGCATAAAGAGATCAGCCAGGAGACCGGATTTGGTCAAAAAAAGACTTTGTTGCCCACCAGGGGAGGTGGCGGATGGGGCCTTCCTCAGGCTCCCGCCCTCGGCAGCTCATGTCTGCTGTCAGATACAGGCATATGGCTCTACCCAGGGAGAGGTACTTTTGTTTTTGTTTCTTTATTTTGTTTTGTTTTTTAGATTTATTTATTTTTATTGCAAAGTCAGATGTACAAAGAGAAGAGACAGAGAGGAAGAACTTCTGTCCAATGATTCACTCCCCAAGTGAGTGCAATGGCTGGTGCTGTGCCAATCTGAAGCCAGGAGCCCAGATCGTCTTGGGTGCAGAGTCCCAAGGCATTGGGGCTGTCCTTGACTGCTTTCCCAGGCCACAAGCAGGAAGCTGGATGAGAAGCAGGGCTGCTGGGATTAGAACCAGTGCCCACATGGGATCCTGGCACGTTCAAGGCAAGGACCTTTAGCTGCGAGGCCACTGTGCCGGGCCCATTTTTTTAATGTTTATTAATTTATTTACACTTAAAATGTGAGAGATAGAGATTGAGAGATTTCCTATTCACTACCCCCCTGCTCAAATGCCAGCTCTAGTCCAGGCTGAAGCCAGGAGACCATAACTCCATCTGGGTCACCGCTGTGGGTGGCAGAATCATCATTGTTGCTTCTCAGGATGCATTGGCAGGGAGCTGAATCTATAGCAGAGCAGCCAAGAATTGAACCCACGCTCCAGTATAGAACGCCAGCCTCAGAACAGTGGCTTAACTTGCTGTACAGTGATACCTGCTCTGGGAAAAACTTTGTTTCCCTTCTTCCTCTTCCTTTTTTTCTTTTTAAAGATTTATGTACTTGAAAGGCATCATAGAGAGGGAAAGATAGACATGTCTTTCATGTTCTAGTTCACTCTGTAAATGTTTGCAATGGCCAGGGATAGGTCAGGTTAAAACCAGGAGCCAGGAGCTTCATCCAGGTCTCCCAGGTCGCCCTCATGGGTACAGGGGCTCAAGCACTTGGACCATCTTCTGCTTCTCCTGGATCGTAAGTAAAGCAGCTATGTATTGAACCTGCATCCATATGGGATGCTAACATTATATAGGTGGAAGCTTAGTCCTTTATGCCACAATGCCAATCCTGAAGAGCTTTATTAAGAAGCAAAAATGAGGCTAACATCGTGACTCAGTTAAGCCACTGATTGTGATGCCCACATCCCATGTAAGTGCTGATTTGAGTCCTGCCTGCCCTGCTTCTGATGTAGTTCCCTCCTAATATGCCTGAGAAAGCAGTAGAAGATGGCCCAAGTGCCTGGTCTCTGCCAGCCACATGAGAGACCCAGTTGAAGTTCCAGACTGCTGATTTTGCCCTGGCTCTGAATTGGCTGTTGCAGGCATTTGGGGAGCGAACCAAAGAGTGGAAGATTTCTCTCTCTCTCCCCACGTCTACCTTCAAACAAGCCAATAAATGTTGGGAGAAGAAAAGTAACAAAAGTGACCTCCACCCTGACTCTACCCTTCCACAGTGCCGGAAGCCACCTAGTGACCCCCCGGAACCCACGAAGAAAAGCCCCAGGGGATCCTCCGAGTCAGGAAAAGAGCACAGTGCAGTCAGGGGAAAGCACAAGCAGCGGAAACCAGCAAAGCCAGAAGCCCAGTCTCCAGGGAAACGAGCTGACTGCCCTGAGGAAGGTAAGCCCTCAGGGATCTGGCCCCCCCCCAGGACTGCTCCCGGAGGGGCCCCCAGGCTTGTTCCTGGGCTGGGCTGGGCTGGACTGGGGACTCTGACCTCCCAGGTTGGCCAGGAGGGAGGCTGGGGGTGCCTCTTCACCCTGCATTCTAGAATAAGGCTCATTTTGAAGGCCAAAGGAGGTGTGAGCTTCCCAGTAATGGATCAGTTTCTCTGCAATGGATTGAGGCTCAAACAAGAAACAGATTTCAGGGGGATTTAGTAAAATGGGGATTTCTCTACTTTGAGATATATTGGAAAGTTCTGGTTCAAAAAAGAGAAATAACTTGCCACCTATGTGGCCAGAGGAATTTAGAAAATTCCTAGATTATTCTTGTCCTTCAGAGATGGGACTGGTACCTGCTTGACCTGTGTGCTTTGCCACCAGTAGTTCTGTGTGCCGACAGGGAGGGAATCCCATGCAGTCCTGACCACAATAGTTTGTACTCATGATCTGGTCCATTTCACATGCCCTTCCTGTTCTTACATAACTGTTTTTCCCAGTTCGCCATCTTGCTGCTCCCATCTCCCTGCCTTCCTCAGTCCTCCAACATTTGTTGGGGTTAAGCTTTTCTGGCACTTACTCCAGCTCGGTTCTAATTGTAAAATGGCCTCCAAATTATCTAGGCTTGCTGGACCTTCCACCTCCTGGCCTAACATTGAATTAATTCTACGAATTGACTTTCTTAATGTTAGCAAAAATGACCAACCTCCAAGTTTCCAAAAGCCTCTGGGAAATACATATTACCTAAGAGCATGCCTATGTGATAGTAGCATAAGGCAAGGTCATGTGTGTAACTCAGGGTAACCAGGGGCGGAAGCATTAACTCTCCCTTGATTTTTTCACCTCAGCCTCTCTGACAGGGTTTTCCAATTGTCAGACTCTGTGCTATTTTTGCCCCCAAACCACGCATTGTTCCAGGTTCCATGGAGAAGAAAGCAAAGAGCAGTTTTCGGGACTTCATCCCTGTAGTTCTGAGTACCCGCACGCGCAGTCAGTCTGGTAAGTGAGATTAAAGGCATGGCGTCTGCACTGCAGAGAAAGGTAGACAATCATTTGAATGATTTTACCACTGGCCCAAGGCAGAGAGTTGACAATTTAATTCACAGTGCCAAGTTGTGTGGCTCCTTTCTACAGGTGGCAGCAGGGATAGTGCCCATGGTCTTAGGGTTGTTATTGGCCTAGCATCCCAGGTCAGGGATCCATCATGTCTTGTCAAGAGCCAGTGATAAAAGGAGGCAGGGAAAGCTGGTTCTGCTGCAAGTTCTGGCATCAGAGGGTTATGGAGGCCCAAGTCAGACAGTTAGCCTTTGGGTCTGGATCTTAGTGTCCTTTTATGGTGGGCATCATCATGTTTGCCTCCCTCAGTGTGTATTGGTCAACCCCAGGGTTGAATTCAAAATGGCCCTTGCCATGCACCACTGGTCTTCTCCCAGCCTCCACATTGGTACAGGGTGCTAGAGATGGTTTCACTTGGATCTCCAGGTGGACTAGCTGCCATGGGGAAATGAAGCATTGTGGAGACTCAGTGATCTGGCACCTCAGCACATGGCAAACATGAGGGTCATTGATGCTCATCATGATGGCCTACAGGCCTTGCAGAATCAAAAAGGATCTTCCGAACCATCATCAAAGAGTGATTACACTCAGGCCAGTGGCATTTTGGCGTTAGACACCGTCTGTCGCGTTTGAGTCTGGCCATTGGTGATCCCCGTGTGATCTCTATGGTGATTGTACATTACCCAGAGTATTAGATTAAGTGGAACACTTGGTTTCCTTGCTCACTCTGTGTCATGGAAAGTTTGTTGCATAGGTGCTGTCTGCAAGTGATCTGACCAGTTTGAAGCTTGGGTTCAGGATCACTGTGTTTGCCTTCTCTGCTGACCTCACTTGGGTCTGGAGATGGTCAAGTTAATAGCTGAGACTTGCAAGAAAGATGGTCATGCCTTGCAGCTGCTTCCCAGGAAGGTGTCAGGTCTCCGGGTGTCCACAACCAGCCAATTTAGGATTGTACTTTCGTTGTTAGAATTGAAGGAAATTGGCAAAAGGGGAAAATGGCCTCCTGGCAAGGTGGCCAAAGAGGGGTGGAAAGGTGCCACTGGTCCAGTCTCCAGGGCTGTCAGGAAAGAAGGGGAAGTGGCTGCCCCGCCCAGCAGTGAGGAACAGCTGTGCTAGGGCGGGGGGTGGGTGGGAGGCAGTGCTGGGCGAAGCTCCACCCCTGAACTCTTGGCAGCTCTGCAGGAGGTGGGGTCAGTGGAAGGAAAAAGGGACTGGCCAGGGAGCACTTGGGCGTGACTAAAGCAGGCTATTTCACAGGAAAAGGACTCCTTGCTTGACTTTTCTTTTGTGAGGCTTCTGCTCATTTAGGGTGGCTCTAGCAATGAAAATGGTGGGGCCACAGAGTGAGCAGGCCTGGGGAACAAAGCCAGTTGGGCCTTCTTCATACTCCACCAAAGCCCAATTTGCTAAACAGATGGACCTGTGGTCCTCTTCTGCCCCCTTCCTCCTGAAGCTTAGCATTTTCTATGTGCTAAGCATGAGTTTGTGGGTTGAATTCAAGTGTCACAGTAACATATGAAAGTAAGGTTGTGTTTTTTTTTAATTTATATTTATTTTGAAAGGCAGAGTTACAGAGAGAGAAGGAGATAGAGAGAGGGAGATGTTCCATCTGCTGGTTCACTCCCTAAATGGCCACAATGGCCAGAGCTGGACCATTCCAAAGCCAGGAGCCAGGAACTTCTTCCGGGTCTCCCACATAGGTACAGGGGCCCAAGGACTTGGATCATCCTCCTCTGTTTTCCAAGACCACAACAGGGAGCTGGAGTGGAAGTGGAGCCACCAGAGCCCATATGGGATGCTGGCAGCACAGGTGGAGAATTATCTTGCTTCATCGTGGCACTGGCTCCAGGGTGTGTGTGTGTGTGTGTGTGTGTTTAATAGTGGATAGTAGTATGACATGTCAGTTTCTATAAGGTACTTCTGGGTGAAAGATCGTATCTGAGCCTCCAAACAGCTCCAAGAGGTCAGTAAGGGAAGACTAGTAGCCCCATTTTACAAATGAGGAAATAGAATGAAGGAACTTTTACAAGGTGCATGACTGATAACTGGCAGAACCTGAACTTGAACCTAAACTTGGGACCCCTAGCCCAGGGGACTCGCTTAGAGTGTACACACTGTCTTCTGGAGAGGTCTGTGACTGTCTTCTGTGCATCTCATTCCCAGGAAGCATCTGCAGCTCCTTTGCTGGTATGGCAGACAGTGACCTGGGAAGCCAGGAAGTTTTCCCCACCGAAGAGGAAGAGGAGGTGGCCCCTACCCCAGCTAAGCGGCGAAAGGTGAGAAAGACCCAGCGGGACACCCAGTACCGTAGCCATCATGCCCAGGACAAGACCTTGCTGAGCCAGGGACGAAGACACCTGTGGCGAGCCCGAGAGATGCCTTGGAGGACAGAGGCTGCCCGGCAGATGTGGGACACCAATGAAGAAGAGGAGGAAGAGGAGGAGGAGGGCCTGGTGAAGAGGAAGAAGCGGAGACGGCAGAAGAACCGGAAATATCAGAGTGGGGAGTACCTTACTGAGCAAGAAGAAGAGCAACAGCGGAAGGGGAGAGCAGGTAAGGCTGGCCAGGGGGACTGCCATTCCCACAGCAAACTGGGCTGCTGGCGAGCCTCAGACATCACAGGTCTTCATGCTGCTGCGTTCTGTGCTGCAGCCAAAGGCCTCTGCAAGCACTGTGGTGATCTCCAGCTGTCGGGTGGGGTTATTCAGCTTCAGCCCAGAGCTTCTGGCTTTGCATTGAGACTGAATGAGTCCAGACTGATCTGCAGGAGAGCTGAGGGCATGAAGGTCAAATCTTTGGGCCAGGCCATGGGGACAGAAGTTGTCACCCAAGTGGGCAACTTGATGTCAGTGAGTTGAGACTTTTAGGAGTCTGGGTGCTCTTTTCTCATATCCCAGGTTCAAGAAGAGTCAGGGCATTGGCTGCCTTTCCTGGGGTTCTTCAGCTCCTAAGCTCAAAAGTACAGCAGTTCCCTCAGACCTGCAGTACAACTTCCAAGCCAAAGTCAGGCACCACTTGGCTTTCTCCGTGAAACCACAGAAAGTATTTGGAAGCAGAGGGAAGCGTTGGGATGACCCAGAGCAGCTCCATTTTTGTTGGACCTGAGGTGGGAAAGCATACAGCCCAAAGAGAAAGGCAAGCTTTCTTTGGTCATGTCTAAAACTGTCACCTGTACTCCAGGAGGCACAAACTGCCAGGGTCCATTAGCAATGTGTTTTACTAAGGACTGTTCAGGCCCATTCCTATAGTAGATTTCTAATTGAGCAAAAAGCATATCCCTGAGTTGCATAAGAACACTTCTGTCTCTCACTCTCATCCTATGACCATCTACCCTTGAAACAGCAATTGATTGCCTCCCGTGATATATTCATCCTGAGCTACTGGTAGACATCTGCAGCTTGTTATCAGTGGAAACTAAGTAACCTCATATTGAGCGGGTACAATTCTGGGTTTCCTATAATAATGCAGCAAAAGCTTAACCTCATTTCTGGCTCAGCTTAAATGGTGATGTATATGCTACTACTATCCTTATGCTCAAGAGAGTAATTGAGCTAATTTTCATCAAACTATGCAGTGAGTAGGGGCAATTTTCCCTTTCTCCTGCTAGAGTCATAACGGATTGGTTATCGATGAATTGTTGAGCCATTGGCCTCAGCCACTTGTGTTGGGATGAAGAGCAGTGTTTGCACCCACCCATCTTCTCTGATGTGGGCTAATTTCCTCACTTGGAGGATTCCTACGAAACTCGTTGGCTCTTGAAACCAAAAAGGCCTTCAGGGTAGCCTGGTACAGTTGGCCAGTCAATGCAGAGCTAGCGATTCCGCAGTGTTCCTGATAAGTGACTAGCTGGCCTTTGGACACCTCTAGTGGCACAGAGAACATCACCAATCAAGTCTTCCTAGCTTGTCTGGGGGAAGCTCCCTTTGTTGAAAAGTCTGTATCTGTCTCCCTCCATCTCCCCCCCTACCCCCACCTCCTCTCTGGATGTGTCTGAAGGGCTTTGCATTGAGGCAGCTGGCTTTGGCATGTCTTGCGGTAACCTTCCTCTCCAGCTCTGATAATGACATTTTTTATGCAGGAATTGCCTGCCAGACCTTTCTGTCTTCTGGAAGCTCCAACTCCACCTCCTCCTGTCATTTGGTTTGACATCAGAGAACTAGGCAAAGGTCAAACTAGGCAGATCACCCTTACTTACCCCTATCTGACCCTGTGCCCAGGATCTCTCTTCTTAACCTTCAGAGATAAAAAAAGAGCCTCTTCCTCTCACACTCCTCCTTTGTGTGCTGTGTACTCTTAATTCCTTAGCGTGCTATGGTAAAGCCACTAGCTCCTCCACAGCTGAATGAACCTGAATTTGCCCTGCTCTGGGTGAATGGGGTAGGGGCAAAAGTCTCTTTTATGAGTCATTGAACACTGTAATATGGTTTTCCTATGTTTCCCGGGGTCCTAACTGTTCCTTCCTCCTTTGCTTCAGTCCAAACTTGCTGCATCAAAACCCTAGTTGAGGAGTGGGCATGTGGCTAAGTGGTTAAGACAAGCATGTCCCATCTCTTGAACCTGGGTTTGATTTTTGTCCAGACTCTTCGTTCTACTTTCTGCCATTGCAAACCCTGTGAGGCAGCAGTTGATGATACAAGTAATTGGTTCCTGCCACTCAGGTGGGAGACCTGCATTGAGTTCCTTGATCCCAGCTCCCCAGCAATGTAGGCATTTTGGGAGAGAACTGGTTGATAAGAGCTCTCTCTTTCTCTTTGTCTCAAACAAAAATTTAAAAGTAAGTTCTAGTTTAGAAGGTGCACAGTGAAAGTGCCGTTAGGCTGTACGGACCCATTTGTGGGATGGAGCTAGTTGGATAAAGAGGGGATGGTCTGATAGCTGGTCTTGTAAGAGCTGTGCATAAACTATAGCCAATGCCTTATGTCTCACACAGAACCTATGTCAAGGTCAGGGGAGAAGAATTTGAACTCTTGGATATTAATCTCTTCGTTTCACAAGTTAGAGATTGACCCCAGTTCATGTATTCCATAGACAGACAGCATGATCATTTGCTATGTGCTTGGTGTGATAGTCTATCCTTTAGGGATATAACATACAGGTATGGCCCTAACTAAAAAGTCCATGCATAAATAATAAAGCAATATATTGCCTTACATGTTATCAAAAGAGTTTTGTGTGTGTTAATTTCATTTTATTCTTACATCACTCCTATAATGTGAACTGTATTATCTGTTCTACAGGGAAGGAAACTGAGGGTTTACAGAGTTTCTGGGTTGCACACCGTTGACAGTTAGTGCCCTAATCATGTAACCTGATGTTAAAAGATAGCGAAAGATACTATTGCCCCTATACCTGAGCCATCGCCCCCACGCGTGGGCTTTAGCGTGCACCTCTTGGAAGGAGAGTCTTGAGAATGGAGTTCCCAACAGTCCTTGTGAACTTAGAATGAACTTTGCTCAGTGAGCTGTGGCTAGAGTTTGAGGTGTCACCCCATGTGTTGTTGTGACACTGGTGACTTGGTTTCCAACCAGGGAAGGCAGAAGGTTTCTGCCATGGACTACCAGCTGTGTAGCTTCATGGCATCTTTTGGATTCAGGGAGGTTCTAGGGCTTTCATCTTTGTGTCCTCAGAGAGTGACAGGGAGGACCATCAGGTGAGTAGAACTGAAGCCAGAAGGCAGCGTCTTACATGAATGCCCTATCCCCACTGTACTTGATGCTTTCCATCAACAGAGCTGCCAAATTTGTTTTTGGCTTTTTGTTTTTTAATGTTGCAGTGGAGACAGACCAGTGTCTGGGGGCGGGGGGAACCTGGAAAGAAACTCCGATTTGCTTAGGCCTATGGGTGGACCCTTTTAAAATTACCCTTGTCTTGAAGACAGCCAAATAGGCTGCCTCCTGCTGGCAGGGCTGGGAGCTGTCTCTGTTGATAGAGGGAAGGACTTGGATGTTGAAGTCCAGTGTCCATTGAAGGAGGGCTTTGGGGCACAGTCAGCAGTGCACTAGGTTCTGTTAGCTGACATTTCCACAACTTCACATTTGCCTTCTGATTCCCATAGGTCCTCTGATTCAATCAAAAGGATAGTGTTGTTTTGCTGGGTTCTGTGTCTTTGACATGGTTCTCTCCCGTTTTTTTTTTTTTTTCTTGCCTTCAGATTTAAAGGCCCGTAAGCAGAAGACTTCCTCCCAAAGTTCAGAGCACTGTCTCAGGAACAGGAACCTTCTCTTACCCACCAAAACCCAGGGGATCTCGGATTCACCAAATGGCTTCCTCACAAATAATTTGGAGGAGCCAGCCTGCCTTGAAAATTCCGAAAAGCCATCAGGAAAACGGAAGTGCAAAACCAAGCACATGGCAAACGTCTCTGAAGAGACAAAGGTATGTCACTATCAGGGAACATGTCTAGGGGAGGGGCACAGGCTGGTCGAGCCCACCAAGTTCCTTGGTCAGTAGGCATTTAGGGAAGGAAGGCAGGGAGGTATGGCAGGGATCAAATGTACTTATCGTTATTAAGGTATTCCTAACTTGTTCTAGAAGGATTAGGGGGCAGATCTGAAAAATGGGAATTTAGGTTTACTTACAGGGTATGGGCCCATGAGGGCTTTTCCTCTCCACTGCCTGGATCTCCTTTGAGTTAAAGAAGCATTCTAGAATATGGCAGGATGTTAGTGTGAATATCTTTGTTAACATCCAATGTTAAGCTTTTGTCACTGGAAGCCAATCAATCACAGGGCTTCCTGAACCAGTCAAGGTAAGAAAAAACAACCACAATAACTCATAAGAGCAAGGAGTTTGATAGCCAGACAAGGGTGGCCTGAGGGTGGAGCTGGCTGAGGTATTCTACTTGGGCCCAGGTTATAGCTGCCCTGCTCTGCCTTTTGTCCCAGCTCCCGCATGTCTGGTGGCAGCCCAGGAGTGAGCAAGTGAGCAGTCATAGTCAACCCGAAAAGCATTCCTAGGATGCCCTCTCAAAGCAAACATCTCTTTGGGGTCTAATGTTCATAGCGTTGGGGTTGGATTCCACATTGCACTATCACGGGGTGGGGGGTGCTCATCCATGTGAGCTCTATATTTGAGAGAAGTAAAGGTCCAGATTCAAATGTGATCCATAATAGGCACTTGTCATCGCTCACCCCTCCCCGAGGCCCAGCTGGGCTTGTTGTGGTGCTTGTGGTTGTTAATGGCTCTTTCCATCTCCAGTTCCTGGGCAGGGATCCCTGAAAGGGCAAAAAAGTGGGAGACCCAGATGCTTGCTTCCCTTCTAGCCCTTCCCCCACCCAAGCCACAGCCTTATTCCAGCTCACATGAGGGATGCCAGGCTATTTCCTCATCCTTCAAAACGGAGCTATATTCCATGGTCTTTGTGGCTCACAAGAGTGCTTGGAGAAACAAAGGAAGCAATGTCTGCGACGGGCTTCGATCACGCTGAAGTGCTCTCTGGGGCTTGCTTGGGCATTCTCCTCATCATTTGGGCTGAGGCAGCGTGAGGGGCATGAGGCACAACATGGCCATGACATCTGTTCTCCGTGACCCTCAGAGTGGGAGACAGACAGGGCCCAAGGGAAGGATGGTCTGTGCCAAGTGCTTTGCTTCTGTTACCATTCTTGTTTCCGGGAACAAATGCTTTTATGCTTTTGGAGGCTAGTGCTTTTTTTTTTTTTAAGATTTATTTTATTTATTTCAAAGACAGTTACAGAGAAGAAAGGGAGACACACACCCACCCCCACACACACACACAGATCTTCCATCCACTGGTTTAGTCTCCATATAACTGCAAAAACCGGGCCTGGCCCAGATGCAAGCCAGAAGCCTGGAGCTTCATCCCAGTCTCCCATATGGGTAGCAGGGGCCCAATCACTGCTACCTCCGCTGCTTTCCCAGATGCATCAGCAGGGAGCTGGATAAGAAGTGGAGCAGCTCAAACATGAACTGATGCCTATACGGAATGCTGGTGCTGCAGGTGGCAGCTTCACCTGTTCCGCCTGAGGGCCAGTCCTGAGGTCAATGGTTTAGTTAGCCTCATCAAAAGTGACAAGAGACTTAAGTGCAGTTACTTTGCCTTGCTGCAACAGGCCTGTGTACTTTAAGAGCCACAGCGCCTCCCTGTGGCTCTCAGGCTCCCAAATAGCTTCAGTCTGTGGGAGGGGCGATTGGATAGGAAGCCTTGCAGCCTAGAGGAGCTGGAGACAGAAGGCACCCCAGGTTCCTGCTTGTTCTCCCCCCCCCCCCCCCCCACCTCCCTGACACATTCTGATGATTCCATCCCACCCGGTGGCTCTGCCTGGTAGTGTGCCTGCAAAAATGTGTTTCAGCATATATTGCCGTCCCTCCTGGCACCTCTTGTTTGTCCCTCTCACCTTCTTTTCATTTCTGGTAGCCCCGATGGCGCAGGACTTTGTCGTAGCAAGTGAGATGGTGGGAGGCTAGAGATAGTTCCCCAGCACTGGTGTGGGGCCTCTGCCAAGGGCTGTGGGGGGAGGGGGAAGCAAGGGGTATCCACACTTGTACTTACTCCTTACCTTGCTGTTCTCTGACAGCTGTGGCTGCCACAAGGCATGTTACCCTTGGGTTCCTGCTTGAGCCTCCTGAAACACCTGGGTGCTTCAGCCCAGCTTGCTCCAGTCCTGCCATGGCATGCTCTCTCCTGCTGCTCACCCAGGGGTGCTGGGCCCTCCCAGCTAGTCTCTTGTTGCTGGGGACTGTACCTCACTACCTAATCATTAGGCCTTCCCATGCCTCTTGGGATCTTCTGGAGGGAACAACTGCCCTGAGGCCTCCGCTTGCTCTCTGCCACTAGGCTGACTTGGCTGGCTTTCCCTGGGCAATATTTTCTGACTGCCTAGTGCACTGCACCTGGCCACTATTGGTGCACTGATGTGCACAGCTCTGAGTACTGGAAATAATGAAAGGAAGATGAACCCCATTTCCAGATTTGAATTTGAAAGTCAGAAAGGAAGAGAGAGAGAGAGATCTTCTATCCACTGGTTCGCTCCTCAAATGGCTGCAATAGCCAGATCTGGGCTAGCCTGAAGCCAGGAGCCTGGACATACCTCTGGGTCTGCCACATAGGTGCAGAGGCCCAAGGCTTTGGGCCATCCTCTGCTGTTTTCCCAGGCCACAAGCAGGGAGCTGGATGGGAAGTGGAGTGGCTAGGACATGAACCAGCACCCATATGGGATGCCAATGCCAAAGGTGAGGCTTACTTGCTGTGCTATTGCACTGGCCACATCCATTGACTTTTTGAAGATGCCTTCCTATCATTTATTGCAGTGTAACAAATTGGTCTACAACCTAGCAACGTAACAATAACAAGTATATATTCTCTCACACAGGTTTGTGAAACTCCAGAATTCAAGAATAGTTTAGCTGGGCCTGCCTTGGGGTCTTTCATGTGGTTGTAGTCAGGATGTCAGCCAAAGTTACAATCATTTGAAAGCTGGAATGGGGCTAGAAGATCTGCTTCTGGGGTGGCTTGCTGCGTGGCTGGCAAACCGATGCTGGTTGTTGATAGGCAGCCTCCTACCCTGGCCCCGTTGCACCTCTCTAAAGTGCTCCTGAAGTGTCCTCCTGATTTGGCAGCTGACGGTGCCTCTACAAGGCATTCGAGAGGGAGCACCACAGAAACCACACATGTCTTTTGGGGCCCCAGCCTTGGAAGTCAGACTGCAATGTCTGCGATCTCCTATGGCTTACACAGGTCGGCCCTGTCTCGTGTGGTGGGGGCTACGCCAGGGCCAAGGGTCAAGAGGTGTGGTCGTCAGGGAGCATCTTGGAGGCTGGCTAACACAGTCAGCCCCCTGCCCCCTCCTCAAGGATTCATGGCCCTGCTACAGACAAAGGGAGTTCCCCCCACACAAGGGCCCCTCGAAGTGGCGTCCAGTTGTGTCATTTGCTCCAAGCCTAAGGTCTCTTCACGTAACTTTGGTCCACATGTAGACGAGGCTCCTTCTATCTGGTTCCTCCAGCACAGTTGCTCCTGATCTGAACATGTGGTACCTGCCCCCCCTCCTCTGGAAGGACCCCAAGACCCTTTACAGCCAGCTAGGCCTGGGTTACCACTGGAGACACCCCAGTCACCCATTTGAAGGGGGAGAAGGGAAGACACTTGGGGCACACAGGGAAGAGGCTCTGAGTGCCTGCCCTTTTTTTTTTTTTTGGTCTGTCCTCTTAAGGTCATGGTCCCTGGTTGGGCTGTTGTCTCTGAGACCCTGTAAAGAAGAAAGTATGGCTCGGGGGGGTTGCGCTGTGCCCCAGGCTCTGGAGCTGGTGCCTGGCTGAGGCCTGGTTCAAGCTCAGGTGTCTCTGCATCTGAAGTCAGAACTCACCCCGCTGCCCCAATTGGATCTGGGTATGGTCTAGGGACACCACACGGAGAAAGACAGGCAGCAGTGTCCAGGCAATGCTTGTAAGGGTGGTGGGGATGAGGTCCCAATGTCCTTGATTCTCTTTACTCTCAGTGTTTGCATTTGTTGTTGCATCTGGCTGACTTGTAAAACCCTCACTGAAGGCACTGGTGTAGTGACTCAACAGGCTATTCCCCCACCTGCAAGCATCAATATCTCACATAGGCATCGGTTCATGTCCTAGCTGCTCCACTTCCTTTCTAGCTCCCTTTTTATGGCCTGGGAAAGAAGTAGACAATGGCCCAAGCCCCTGGGACCCTGCACCTGCGTGGAAGAACCAGAAGAAGCTCTTTACTTCTTGGTTTGGACTAGCTGATCTCCAGCCATTGTGACCATTTGGGGAGTAAACCAGCAAATGGAAGGTCTTTTTCCATATCTCTAACTCCACCTTTCAAGTAAAATAAATCTTTTTTTTAAAAAAAGACTCACTGAAATTGGGAAGGTAGGCAGGTGGGCAGAGTGCTTAAGTGGAACAGGTATGTCATCCACATCTCTGATTTCCAATCCCTTCATCAGTCTGTACTTCCTGGGATGAGGATTTGAGCCTCTTGCCATCTCGCCACCACCGGTGGGTAGCAGGTCCTCTGCTTTCAATGTGACAGTGGTCTGTGCTCCTGGGATTACCATCAACAAAGCACAACATAGACATCACTGAGGGCACATGGCCCAAGTAGAGTGGCTGTGTTGTCTGGCCTGCCCCATGACCCTATCTTGGCTTTCCAGAGCAAAGGTCGTTGGAGCCAGCAGAAGACACGCTCGCCCAAGTCTCCCACCTCAGCGAAAGCCACGGAACCATGCACACCCTCTAAGTCCCGAAGTGCCGGCCCGGAGGAGGCCACGGAATCCCCCACAATCCGGCAGATTCCCCCGGAGGCACGGCGGCTCATTGTGAACAAAAACGCTGGTGAGACCCTCCTGCAGCGGGCAGCCCGTCTTGGCTATAAGGTAAGCTGGCTGCTGACTACACATTTCCATCAGCCTGGGCAGCTCTGGCAAAGCTGTTCTCACCCTTGGCTCCCCTGGGGTTTGTGTCCAGGCTGGCCTGCCTCCCCTGCCCACACTGCCTATAGAGGGTGGGGGTTTGCCTTGCCCTTCATCTGATTGTTTTGTGGGAATGCAAGTTCATTTGAATGACAGTCTGCAATAACATTGAAGTAGTAACAAAATATCATCCAGTGCATTCCTGGACTTGAGACAGGAGTATGGGGATTTTTTTTTTCCTTGTCTGGAATTTCTCTCTGTGGTTGTTCCCCTGCTCCAAGAAGAATAAAAGGTGATTATTACCCACTTTTTCACCATCCCCTCATTGCACCTGCTGGGAGAGGTGTCAAGGGGAAAAACTGAGCGACTCCCTCTTTATCTTCCTTCTCTGTGTGTTGAGAAGATGGCAGGAAGGGAAGCTAGCACCTTTTTGGTCATGCTGAGGTCTTTGATGTCTTCCTGTGACTTAAAGCTCACAATACGCCTGCAAGGTCACTTTTATTATGCACACTATATGGATGAGAAGAGCGAGGCTTAGCAGCAGCTCCCTCTGCCAGCTTACGCAGAGCAATGCTGGTTTGCTGGAGGGTAGTGGGGGAGGGCCAGAAGTGACTACGTTGGTGTGGACATTGATCCTGCCGAAACCAGTATTCGGGGCTGGTTCATCTTAACTCATTTTTTAATTTTTCCCAGAGGCTGTGCTGGCCACGCCCCTCTCCTTGCCCCCATCTGCAGCTGCCTTGCAAAGCCAGAGGAGTGCAGGTCCAGGTGCTGGGGCTTTGCAGGGGCAGGTGAGCCTCTTAGAGTGACTGCCAGCCCAAATGTGTGTTCTCTGCCGTCAAATGTACCTCCCTGCTGCCCCGGAAACATAGCAGAGCTGGTGTCCCGGTGACAGCAGGGAGATCTGTCTGTGCTCTCAAGGCTCTCCCTGTGCCCACAGGACGTGGTCATGTACTGCCTGCAGAAGGACAGTGAGGATGTGAACCACCGCGACAATGCTGGCTACACAGCCCTGCATGAGGCCTGCTCACGTGGCTGGACTGACATTCTGAATATTCTCTTGGAACATGGTGCCAACGTGAACTGCAGCGCCCAGGATGGCACGAGGTAAGGTTGTCCTACCCTTGCCCCTAACTTAGAGCACTCAGCAGTTGGACTTTGGCTTGGTCAGGAGGCATTTCTAAAGGACTCATGTTGAAGGCAGGCGCTGATAAGTTCTTGGAAGGCCAGTGTCCCACAGGTTCCCATGGGAAGGCCGTGGTTGTCGAGGCATCACCCCATCCCTTGCAGGTGTCAGCACTAACACTGCCCCGCCCCCTCCCCGATCAGCTTGGTGCGACAACTGTTTGAGGGAGACTCTGGGGCTTTAGGAGTTAACTAGGGAGCTGACCTCAGGGTAACATTCCACATTGGATTTTTGTGAATTGATCTCTATATACTTTTTTTTTTTTCCTAAACACACCTACGGGGTCTTAGAGAAATCGCACCCTTTCTCCTCTGCTCTAACAGAGCGCCTGGTTCTTGGGCAAAATAGAGACGTGAACTGGGGTTCAGGTCCCAGTACCTCGAGGCTCCACTTGGCCACCGTCACCCCACTCCTTCCTCTTGAGTGGCAGTTTGTACCCCCACTTCATCTGCTATAACTTCTTTGTTGCTCACAGGCCCATTCTCCGCCAAACTCCACGAAGACCAGCAGAATATTATTGTGTCCTAGGAACTGAACATTGAGGGTGTCAGGAGAGGGACAGGGCATGCATGCAGATATGGGGGTAGGGAGAGAGAATGAGAAGGGAGGAGGAAGATATGCAAAGGCGGGATGGAAGATTATGGAATTACCCAGGGGGAGGGGACAGTCACCTCATTTGTTCTCTGCTGAGGTAGCCTGAAGCCAAGACACCTCAGTTCCTGCTGGCTGCCTGTTGTCTTCACCCTGTGTCACCTCCACAGGCCAGTTCATGACGCAGTGGTCAATGACAACCTGGAGACCATCTGGCTTCTGCTGTCCTACGGGGCTGATCCCACGCTGGCCACCTACTCGGGGCAGACGGCCATGAAGCTGGCCAGCAGCGACACCATGAAGCGCTTCCTCAGTGGTGAGTACTGGCATGCTTGCATCTGCCATCCCTGGGGCTGACCACTTCCGCTTGAACTTGGGAAAAGACCCTGTTCATCTCCCTTGATCTCAGAGTGCTCCCATGAGGGCCACCTGCCCCCTCCTCACACTTTCCTTCAAGCACCTCAGAAATTCCTGTCTGCTTTGTTCATTTGCAAAAGAGAGAGAGACAGAGATGCATCCGCCAGTTTCCTCCTCAAATGCCTGCTCCAACGGGATTGGGGCCAGGATGGGGGAAGGCTGCTGAGGGCAATCCTGGCTTTGGCTCAGGTTCCAGTCAAGCTGAGGAGGCCATGCAGGACAGATCTTAACCCCTCCTGGGTGGGAAGTGGCAGGAGAGCCTTCTCCATCCCCCTCCACACCGCAGCTCTGCTTCCCCAGGGCCATGTCCTTGAAGGGTAGGCAGAGTAGGCCTGAGATGTTCCTTCAGTCATTTGCCCTGGGCAGCAATAACTGCCATTCCCTCTAGCGGAGCTGGTCCTATGGGGTCCCAGCACCCCGGTCGAGCTGCCCTCAGTGACCTCCTCTCACATACTGTGCACAGCATATGCACATGTGTGAATCCGCCGAGATCCCAGGAAAGCACTCCGGCACATCCAGAGCATCTCAGTGCAATGAAGGACACCGCAGACTCTGTCTTGATCAAGGAATCTCGGGCAGCAAACCCAGGGGGGCTCTGCAGGGGTCTCGGTGGATCATGGAGTTGTTCGGGTCCGGTGAAAGCTGTCTGACCATTTCTGTAATCAGATGAATTCTTTCTTTACTTCCTAGAAACTCCAAAAAATGGATGTTGTAAACATTTGAGTTCTTAAAAAATTAGAAATTAATGTGTTTTTTTTTTCTTTTCTGTCAGCTCAGCCTAACTACCAGCCAGCCCTTTTTCAAGAGTTTATTTGTTGATTTGAAAAGCAGAGTAATGGAGGGAGGACCAGAGACAAAGAGAGGGAGAGACACAGAGAGATCTTCCATTTGTGCCTCACTCCCCAGTGCCATGGGCCAGGCTGAGCACACACTTCCATCCAGGGCACCCTTGTGAGCGCCAGGAATGGCAGGATTGGGGCTATCACCTGCTGCTTCCCAGGCACATGAGCAGGAAGTTGAACAGAAACTGAGGAGCCAGGACTTGAACTGGCCTCCAAAATGGCATGCTGGCATCCTGCCCTTTAGCCAGGGTACCCCTTTAAATAAACAAATGCTAGTGTGTGTTGCAAAGCGCAAACTAAGTCTTTATTTAAAGATTTATTTATTTTTATTGAGACAGCAGAGTCATAGAGAGGAGAGACAGAGAGAAAGATCTTCCCTCTGCTGGTTCACTTCCCGAATGTCCCACAACAGCAGGAGCTGAACTGATCTGAAGCCAGGATATGCTTCTGGGTCTTTCATGTAGGTGCAGGGTTCCAAGGCTTTGGGCCATCTCCCAACTATTCTTTCAGGCCACAAGCAGAGAGCTAGATGGGAAGTGGGACAGCTGAGACTTGAACTGGCACCCGTATGGGATGCTGGCCCGTGCAGGTGGAGGATTAGCCCATTGAGCCATCATGCCAGCCCAGAAGACTTACTTTTTTTTTTTTTGAAGACATACCTTATTTTTGTTGGGAAGTCAGATATACAGAGAGGAGTAGAGACAGAGAGGAAGATTTTCCATCCGATGGTTCACTCTCCAAGTGGCTGCAATGGCCAGAGCTACAGTAATCCAAAGCCAGGAGCTAGGAGTCTCTTTCGGGTCTCCCACATGGATGCAGGGTCCAAAGGCTTTGGGCCATCCTTGACTGCTTTCCCAGGCCACAAGCTGGGAGCTGGATGGGAAGTAGGGCGTTTGGGATACAAACTGCTGCCCACATGGGATCCTGGCATGTGCAAGGGGAGGACTTTAGCTGCTAGGGTACCGTACCGGGCCCAAAAACTCATCTTATTGCTGGCACTTCGTAACCTGTTGAAGCTGCATGGCTTCATCCAAATCTTGACCCTGTTTCCCCATTTTATGGGTGTATAGCTGGTTAGTAACGGGGATTGGGAGCTGATGGAGTGCTATAAAATCTCTTTGCCACAGAAAGTTCTAACAAGAACTTTGGCTTTAACCCAAAGGATGTTTGGGGGCGTTAGAGGACAACACTCAAGGGTTTGTTAAAATTGAGGTAAAAGTCACCAAGCATTAACTGGTTTAAAGTGGGTCATTCAGTTGCCTGTGGTACATTCATGACGTTGTGTCTTCGTCATCAGGGGCTGTTTTCATGCCTCACAGTAGATATGTGTCTGGTGTCATCACTGTACGCCTCCCCAGCACATTTCCAGGGATGGCTAGATAGAGTGGCGTCCAAGGCCACAGGACACAAGCCAGGATGCTTCGCTGCCGCCCCCTCCTCCTTAGCCCCCGCGGCTGGGTGCGTCTGCAGAGACCTGTGTGTTGTTGTTTCACCTGGCCCATGTGCTTGAGGCACTTTCCCAGCATGTTTTTCAGCCCCAAGCATTTGCTCAGCCAGATTCTCTGTTGATTGTCTTCAGCCTCGCCCACTGTACGTGCCACTGGGCAGCAAAGGAAGGCAGGTCCCTGTGGGGTGCAAAGAATGCCTTAAAAAAAAAAGATTTAGTTGTTTGTTTATGTATTTTTATTGGAAAAGCAGATTTACAAAGACAAGGAGAAACAGAAAAATCTTCCATCTGCTAATTTATTCCCCAAATGACCACAATGGTCAGAGATGAACCAATCTGAAACCAGAAGCCAGGAGCTTCTTCTGGGTCTCTGATGGAGTTCAGGGTCCCAAGGCTTTGGGCCGTCTTCGACTGCTTTCCCAGGCCACAAGCTGGGAGCTGGAAGGGAAGTGGAACAGCTGGGATATGAATTGTTGCCTATATGGGGTTCCAGCACCTGCAGGTGGAGATTTAGCCAATCAATTGAGACATTTAACTGGCCAGAAAGGCTCCATTTTGTGGAAACTTAAGAGGGGAGGCTGAGCATCATGGTATGCCTCTTGTAGTCTCCCTTGCCTCACACAAGGTGCCTGTTCTAGATAAGTCTGATACCCAAACCCTTCTAAGAGGAAGGGTACGCCATGTTTTTCAGGCTTACTGTAGTAGATCCTTTTTGTGAAGCAGAAAAATTCCCATCATCTGGGCTGTGAATGTGTACTTTCTTCATATTAGGTGGGCTTCAAGTGGGGCCCATTTTGCTGGAGATGGTAAGGATGGGTGGAGAGAATGTAGGGGTTTGGAGCAAGTGTTGCTCTTTGGCTTGGGATGTCAGAAGGACCAGGACTGCTCTGGTCTCCACTGATGAAAGGGTTAACAGTTATCACTTAAGCTCATTCAAGTCACAGCTTTGTTTTTCCTGGTAGAGACTTCTGCTGCGCGTCAAAAGACTACTTGTTTTTTGTTTGTTTGTTTTGTTGTTGTTGTTATTCTCTGTCTCCTTTCATGTCCCTCAGCTGGTGACTAGATTTCAGGAGCTGGGGAGGGGTATGATGGAACCCTGGGAAATGGAGTAGCCGCTGCTCAGCCACTCATGTTGAGGTTAGAGGCTGTTCTTAGAAATGAGGCTCAGAGGGGTGGGCACAGTGCCAACATCCCGTAGGGACACTTGTTTGTGTCCCAGCTGCTCCACTTATGATCCAGCTCCCTGTTAATGGGAAAACAGGTGGATGGCCCAAGGCCTTGGACCTCTGCACTCATGTGAGAGACCTCGAAGAAGCTCCTGCTTCTCAGCTTCGGGTCAGCTCAGCTCAGCTCTGGCCTATATGACCATTTGAGGAATGAACGAGTGAATGGAAAACCTCTCTTCTGGCTTTTCTTCTCTGTGTAAAAATCTGCCTTTTAAATTAAAAATAAATAAATCTTTTTTAAAAAAATAGGAAGAAATGAAGTCTGGAGATACTTCTCATGAAGGCATTGAGATGAGATTCACATAAAACAAAGAGCAATTCTGAGACTGGCTTTGGGCACAACAGATACTTCTTAGGGCACCCACATCCCGTGTCCTAGTGCCTGATCCCAGTCCCAACCACTCTGCTTCCTATCTAGCTTCCTCCTGATGGCCATCCTGCTAGGTACTGGGCAGTGGCACAGATACTTGAGTCCCTGCTATTCAGACATGAAACCCAATAGGAGTTCCTGGCTGCAGCCTGACCTAGCTCTGGCTGTTGCAGGCATTCAGGAAGTGAACCAGTACATGAGAGATCTCTACCTTTCAAATATAGAAAAATTTTAAAAATTTACTACAGTGTGCAAGTGTTGTCATTCACTAAGTTTAGAACATTTTCCTCACCCCACAAGCAAAGCTGATACCCATTAAGAAGTTGCTTACTAGGTTTGGCATTGTGGAGGGGCAGGTTAAGCTGCCACCTGCAGCACTGGCATCCCATATGGGCACTGGTTCAAGTCTCATCTGCTCTACTTCCCATCCGGTTCCCTGCTGCCAGCCTAAGAAAGCAACAGAGGATGGCCCAAGTGCTTGGGTGACCCAGAAGAAGCTTCTGGCTCCAGGCTTCGGTCTAACCCAGCCCCGAGGCATTGTGAATATTTGGGGGATGAACTAGCAAATAGAAGATCTCTCTCTCTATCTCCCTTTGTGCCTTTCAAATAAATATTTAAAAGAAGAAGTTGCTTCCTGTTCTTGGAACCACCATATGCATTCTGTGTCTGGATTGACCTATGCTAGTCATTTGCAGTGGACTCCTGCAGTGTGCACGAGGCCTTTCCCATCTGACTTCTTTCATGTAGTATGTATTTTCAAGGTCCACTCATGTGTTAACATGATTCCATACCTACTCTTTTGTGTGACTGTGCCCCAGTTTATCGATCCATTCACCCTCTGGGGATGAGCTATTCCCCAATTGGGGGACATCTGGGCCATGACCACTTTTTGGCTATTGGCTGTTGAGAGTAGAGCCACCGTAAATACACCTATGCAAGTGTTTTGCTTTTTTGTTTTGTCTGTTTTCAGCTCTTTTGAGTGTATGCCTACAGGATGAAATTGCTGGGCCCTGGGTACTTGTTCAAGGACTGTGAACTGCCTGGGGATGTGAGGAAAGAACATGGGGAAGAAGCAAACAGAAGGAAGGGTGCTCTTTCATCCCAGCCATGTGTGGATGTATGGCAGTGCTTGAGGAGTGTGAATGGAAGTTGCACTGCGAGCTTTCCATGTCTGGGTAGAGGGACTTGTTCCAACTTTGCATCTTTGCTCGTGTTAGCTAACTTTTGGCTGTCTCAGAATGACACCTTGAACTGCAAATGACCAAGATTTGCAGTCAGTGAAGAGAATTAGAAGATGGAGTAGGGCTGGTTCTGTGGCATAGCAAGCTAAGCCTCAGACTTCAGCACCAGCATCCCATATGGGCACCAGTTCTAGTACGGACTGTTCCACTTCAGATCCGTTTCCCTGCTTATGGCCTGGGAAGGCAGCAGAGGATGGCCTAAGTCCTTGGGGCCCTGCACCCATGTGGGAGACCTGGTAGAAGCTCCAGGCTCCTGACTTTGGATGGCTTTGGATCGGCTCAGCTCCAAGTACTGTGGTCATTTGGGAGCTGAACCAATGGATGGAAGATCTCTGTCTCTCCCCTTCTTGCTATAGCTCTAAAGAAAGAATGTGTGGGGCAGGGAGTGCTCTGAAGGCAGCGCCTAAGGAGAAGCCCCCAGGAGCATGGTGAGCTAGGGCTGCTCTAGCGGAAGCCACTGTGACCTCTTGTTGGGGGCAGGGGACAGTGGCTTGCACTTGGCCTGCTTGTTAAGCAAGTACTATATAGTCTTTCCGTATAATATGGAAACTATATGCTAGTTCATCCCCCTTCATTCTCTCCTTCCTCCTTCCTCTCCCTCCATCCCATGTATTTCTTAAGCTCTCATAATATGCCAGTCACCTGCTCGGGGTCAGGGAGCCAGATGTGTGCCTTGCCTTTTGGCAACTTCCACTCCCATTCCTGTACCTGCCCCTACACTCAACAGAAGGCTCATCCTGGAATAGCCACCTGCCTGCCTGACAAGTGCTTCTGGAGGAATGAATTCCAAAGCTCAGGGTATAGTGGGGTGTACAAGCCAGCTGGCGTGACCTCCAGGTTGTTACACAGCGTGTACGTGATGGAAGCTGCTCCCTGTTGCCTTCTCTGACCCTTTATCTCCTGGAAGATAGCTCAGGCACTCATGCTCCTGACAGCTAAGGGCCTTGATTGGATGACCTGTGGGAGGTACAGTGGATGAGGTCATAGTGACACTGTCCCTTGGGGCAGTCTAGCTCTGCTCTTTTAAGAATGAATACCTGCCAACTTCAGCATGGGTTTGGATGTTTTTTGTTTTTTGCTTTTTTTTTTTCAGGTCCTTCCTCCCCTTCCCCTCCCCTGTGCTCTTTGCACTGTGTCCTGTTCTGTTGCCTAGGTGTCACTTTGAGGGGTGGTAATAGGCACACACAGAGCTAAGTCAGTTTGTCAGTTAGGCTTAGCCAGTGTATTAGCAGCCACTGGGGCCATGTGTTCACAGATGGCCTGGGAGCAGTGCTCAGGAAAGCCAGGAGACCTATGTGTCATCCAGGGGGACTGAGCGCTGACATGGTTCACATGGTAAGGTGTAACTAGGCAACAAGGAAGCCAAAGGGGACTGAAGTCCAACTCCAGAGCAGGGGAGCAAAAGGCGCTTTTTATGGTGGTAAAATGCATGTCACGGAAAGTCTATTCTTTTAACCACTTTGATTTATTTAAGAGAGCTTTTTTTGAGAGGCAGAGAGAGACTTCTCATCTGTTGATTTCCCTCCCCAAATGCCCAGGATGGCTCTAGCCAGTCCCAAGGCAGGAGCCAGAAATTCAGTCCAGGTCTCTTATGTGGGGGACAGGGACACGGTTACTTGGAGCCACTGGCACTGCTTCTCAGAGCCCCATGTCAGCAGGAAGCTGGGGGAAGGAGGTAGAGGCAGGATTGTAGCTCTGCGCCCTTCGGTAGAGGATGTCAGTGTCTCTGTGAGTATCTCAGTTGCTAGGGAACAGGTGCGTGAAGTGTGCACAATGACAGTGTTGTCTCTCTTGCTATCTAGTTTTGCAACTTTTTTTTATTATCCTGAAGGGAAACCCCAATCCCGTTCACATTCATTTCCCATTTCCTTGGCCACCATCAGTATGCTTTCAGTCCATGTACTTGCCACTTTCGGATGTATTAATTTTTTATAGGTAAATTTCATTTATTTAAAAAGGAGAGTTATAGAGAAGGAGAGTCAGTCAGAGCAAAAAAGAGAGAGAGAAAGAGAGAGAGAGAAAGACAGGCACACACACACACACACACACACACACACACAGAGATCTTGCATCCACTGATTCACTTTCCAAATGGCCGCAATGGCTGGTTCTGGACCAGGCTGAAGCCATGAGATAGAAGCTTCTTCCAGATCTTCCAAATGGTTACAGGGGTTCAAGGGCCTGGGCTGTCCTGATTTCCTAGACCTTAGCAGAGAGCTGAATCAGAAATAGAGCAGCCGGGACTGAAACCAGCAGCCATATGAGATGCTGTTGCACCAGGTGATGGCTTAATTCACTAAGCCACCATGCCAGCCCCTTCTGGACACTTTATATAAGTGCAGTCTTACAACACACTGCCTATTTTGTCTGGCTCCAATCACTTGGACTTCCATGCTGTAGCAAGCATCAGAAGTCCATTCAATTTTATGGCTTGTGATACTCAACTGTGTGGACCGGTCATGATTCACATGAGCTAAGGACCATTGGGACTGTTTCCCACAGCAGCCCCTGTAAGTAGAGCTGCCATGAACTCGCATGCATGTATACTTGCCTCAGTGTTTCCTTTGGAGTGTTCAATCAGAAGTATGGCTACCAGGCCACGTGGCCATTCATTCTGTGTTGAACTTTTTGAGGAACTACCAAAGCACTTTCCCAAGCAGGTGAATCATTTTACATTTCCATCAGAAATTGCATTGAATTGATGGGCATGTGGAGTGTTTCCACCTTGTGGCTACAGTAAATAGAGCTGCTGTGAATATTTCTGAGTTTTTGTTTGAACACCTGTTTGTTTGTTTTTGGTTCTTTGGGTGTATACCGCGGTGTGGAAGCAGAAGATGCTTAATGAGGATAAACCTAGCCATTTCTCCCCATGGTTTTCAGAGATGAGGCACAGGGCATTTTGCTTCCTTATCTTACTTTAAATTCACGAGATCATAATTGAATCTGTAAACATTGGAAGTTCAGGGAATGGAAATCTTGCACTGGGCCTCAGGTTGTGCTAGTGGAGGACTTCCCTTGCCCCGCATGGAGCAGGACTTGCCAGATGGATATACCTTCAGGATTATGTGCACTGCAGGGAAGAGACAGGGTGGGACCTGGGGAGTCGGAGCCCACACATGCACACTTGCACGCGTGTCACCGCTCCCTCTGGCCAAATGTTGACATGCAGGAATGCAGACCCAGCGTTGCCAGATCTGATTCCCCCCCCCAAAAAAAAATTGGCAATCAGGATTTTTGAGTGAAATTTCCCAATTTGAAAGACATTGCAAGTTAATAGATCAGTTTTAAAATATTGGGCCAAACCATAGATAGGCAGTTGGGCCACATTGGGCACGTGGCTGCTGCTTTGCAGTCTGGCTGGGAACAGGAAGCCTCTCTCCCCCAACCCTCTCATCACACCAGACTCCCCGTTGTGGTCCCTTCTTCCTTTCTCCCACTCTGGTCCCCCATGCCTGAAGCACAGGGTTCCTTCTGTGACCCGCCTCTTCATCTCAGCGCTTTCTCTTCTCTCACCAGATCACCTCTCAGACCTTCAGGGCCGGGCAGAGGGTGATCCGGGCGTGTCCTGGGATTTCTACAGCAGCTCTGTGTTGGGTAAGCTTTCAATGGCCTCCCACTCTTGATCTGTGGCTCAGAGAAGCCCTATTGGATGCAGGGTCTGCTGCTTCTGCTCCAAGATAGGAATAGCTCTGCCCCCAGAGACTCCGTCCTTCTCTCCTGATAGGAGTTCGCAGACCCTTTTAGCCCAAACCTCGACCCCCGCCCCCAGATCCAGAGGTCACTCGCCAAAGCCAGGGAATTGCAACAGTGATGTGCACAAAGCCATCCCATTCACCACCATAGGTGCTTTTAAGCTTCCCCCACATCTCAATGTCTTGTCCTCCTCCCTGGCTTTGTCTTCACCCAGCTAGAAGTCCCTAGGAGTACTGTCACTTCTTCTGGCTTCGATCATGCTCAAGAGGGACCCAGTGTGTCCTACAGCAGCTATCAGCACCATCCTTCCCTGCGCCCAACAGTGCACACACAGATTTTTGAGATAGCTCTGTCTCCAGAGCCCTTAGCCTCATGGCCCAGCTTTCCTTTAGTAGAAGATCAGCAAGTCTTTTATCTAGTGGTGGATCTGCCAGCATGGGCCAGGGGCTAGCCACACTGGGCCAGGGGCTAAGGATTAAGGGAAGCCACCACCCCTGAGCCTGTAGGCAGAGCTGCATATGGGTGGGGGCTACAGTCCAGCACACAGCTTGCAGAGTGGTGCCTTTTAGGCCTCCCCCCACCACCCCTGCCATGTGCTCCACTACAGCCCAGACTTACAGACCAGGCAGCAAGGCTAGGAGAACTACAGCCAGAGAAAGGATGGCACCCCTCTCTGACAGCTAAGCAGCTCACCTTGCACATCACCTAGTTTTCTACAACCAGAGGGCAGCCCGATAGAGTGGCTCTCTGGCCACAGACTGCCATCCTCCAGGACTAGGACTTGCACCTGACCTCCTGGGGATACGCACCACAGGGTCAGCGGATCTTGGCTTCTGCTGGGGTGGGGGGTGGTTATGGCTTTGTCATTTGTCTCTGAAGTGCCCCTCTTCTTTCCAGCCCTGCCCCTGATATCACTGGGCATTTCTTTGCTTTTGTTTTGGGCACGTAACAAAATACTGATTCTGTGTGTGCTCCTCACAGAGAAAAAAGATGGGTTTGCCTGTGACCTCCTGCGGAACCCTCCTGGCAATGCCGAGCAAGAAGGAAACGATGGCGAGGAGGACGATTTCATGTTCGAACTCTCAGACAAGCCTCTTCTCCCTTGCTACAACCTCCAAGTATCAGTCTCCCGTGGGTAAGTGGCTACACAGACACCCAGCACCAGGTTCCTGGCCAGTCCTGGCCTGCCTCCGTTGGGAGATGGGGGCTCTCTGGGAGGAAGTGGAGCAAAGGAAAGGTAGAATGTGCCAGAGAGTCTCCTGACCCACTGTCCTGGGTTGGCTGCAGGCGCTGGCCTTGTCATCTGTTTGCACTGCCTCAGTTCCTACATCTAGAGCCTTTCCCTTAAAGGCTTTGCGCACTGTCCCTACAGACTGGAGATAATGTGGGAGATCTTGGAGCTGATGAACTAGTAGAATACCTGGAACATTTTTGTGCTTGCTGGGGAGAGCCAGATTGGATCTCTGAAATTGAGATTCTCAGCCCAACCAGGAAGACAAAGGGTTGTCATAGCCATAGGACCATGTGGATCCTTAAGCAATCCACAGTGTATTTTCTTGCGGCCTAAGTTGACTAGGTGATGGTGTAGAAGCTGTCATTGCAGATGACAGTACATATTTCAATGAAGATCACTTATTTTCCAATACCCGGATGTGCCTGACACTTCCCGTTGCACCGAACCCACATGATCTTTATTAGAGGATCCACACGGGGGCCAGGTAGCCTGCAGGGCTGTGGTTCTTGTTGGGCATCCCTGCCCACACGTGGGCACTTGGAAGCATTGCTTGGCCCACACGGGAACTCAGGGCCGATGACTGTTCTCTTCTGAAGGTATTGCTTCTCTTCACCGTATTCCTGAATTTCGGATGCTTTAGTGGCCAGCTGTGAGGGTCTTTATCTTTTTGGTCTTTACCTTATTTGTCCAAGCAGTCAGCAGCTGGCATGAAGGGCACCAGGACTTGGGGGAGTGAGGTGGGTCATGAATTAGGAGTCCCTCTGTTTGCCACTTGATTAGACCACTGCTTCTCTTCTGCATGCCTGCCCTCACGGCTTGATCAAAATAAAAATAGCCTATATGATGACACGCGAGGGATCACGTTTCAGGGGCTTGTGGCCCTTATTCTTCTGGGCTGAAGCTGATCCCCGAGGGTGGGGCTAGGCCTGTGGGATATAGTATTGCACGCTTAATTATTTCCTGCCCAGCATTGAGCAGGGCCTGCTCTGAAACAGGATCTCAGGCCACAGGCAGTAAGAGGGCCAGGATAGTGAGCTTTAAGTGTGGCCACCAAGGACCACCGCAGGGAGTTCTGTGAAGCTGGCAGCAGCCCTACATTCTTTGAGAACCAAGGGACGAGGGAGGAGGACAGGAGGCTTGCTGGGGTCCTGAAGTGCTCTGGATATCATCAGACCCAGACTCAATTTTGCTCAGCAGGGTGAAGGACATGGAATTTTGTGTGTCCTCCCTGCCCCCCCCCACACACACATACACACCCTTCTTTGAAAACACTGGTCCCCACATGATAGTGGCTACAGTCCCTTCGTCTTACTCCCAAATCCTGGGAGGTAATGCTGTTTGCCGTCATTTGGAAGAAATGTTATTTTGCAGACTGCATTTTGCAGATCTGGGATGGAGGTGGGAGGTAGTGGTCGGCGGCACCGTGTGGCGCACTGGGTTCCGTAAGCATGTTCTCTGAGAGGCTGCACCAGGTGCAATACTCGGGCCTAGAACACAAGCCAACCGCCCAGGGCCCCGAGGTCCAGTGGCCGAGGCAGGCAAGTGCAGAATTGACTCTCATTGAGGACCAACAGTCCTAAGCAGACTTCCTTTTTTATTGTCAGAAGCTCTCAACAGTTTAGCAGATCATCAAGAGAACACTAAAAAGTTCCAGTCTGACCCCATGCCCCCCAGGCCTAGGCTGCAGAGAGCACAGCAGATTTGAGTTGCTTTGGCAGCTCTTTAGTATTGGGCTCTGTGGTAGACGAAGGGTTTAATTAGAGGCATGAAGCAAGTGCTGTGAGACTTCGAAACATGAGCTACTTGATCAGTTACATCACCAGAACGTCTCCCAGGGTATGGGGAGGAATGCCAGCTGAGCTGAGCCAGGAAGAAAGATGAAGGGCATGGCCTGGGCAAAAGCCCTGGGGCATACAAGTTCAGAACCTTTGGGAACAGGGATGGTTCTCTTTCCTATGGCTGGCACTTGGTGGGATGTGAGTAGCTTGTATGAGAGAGAGAGAGGGAGAGAGCTACTCAGTGGGTGTTGGCTTCAAGAGGTGGCATGCAGTCCTCTTTGGAAGGTCTTGTACAACATGATGCAAAAGATTTTGTTTCTTGGAGGTCCTGGTGATCCATTGAAAACTGTTTGGGGAAGGAGTGGAAAACCAGATTTTTTGTTAAGATTCATTTATTTTCATTACAAAGTCAGATATACAGAGAGGAGGAAAGACAGAGAGTGATTCACTCCCCAAGTGACCTCAACGGCTGGTGCTGCGCCGATCCGAAGCTAGGAACCAGGAACCTCTTCTGGGTCTCCCACGCGGGTGCAGGGTCCCAAGGCTTTGGGCTGTCCTCGACTGCTTTCCCAGGCCACAAGCAGGGAGCTGGATGGGAAGTGGAGCTGTAGGATAAGAACCGCTGCCCATTTGGGATCCCGGCGAGTTCAAGGCAAGGACTTTAGCCGCTAGGCTATGCCGCCGGGCCTGGAAAATCAGATTTTATGGTTGGAAAACTCTGATTGGGTCAGAGGATCCAATGAGGGTGTGGAGGGTATGACCAGGTGACTCTTGGCCTGCCGTGGTGAAGGCGGGACCCAGCCCAGCACGGTGGCTGGGAAAGCAGACCCTGTCAGTGGGGAACTCCATGCCGCAAGGGGCCATGTTGCTTCTGGGTTTAGCCATTGGATGCACCTGGCCCATGCCTGGCCCCTCCTGCACTCCTCCCAGCTGTTCCTAGGTTGCCGCCAGTCGGGGGTGCTGTCTGTGTCAGTGGAGGCCAACTTGCTGTAATGTGAGCCATGGGCCTGCACAAATGATGGTGCTGCTGCCATAGCCACCACAAGAAAAAAAATGTCTAATGCATTCCAGACCCAAAGAGACAAATGCCTTTTGGATTACCCGCACTTGGGGCCTTTTTCCACAGCTTCCTCTCTGCTGTGGGAAGATTTGGAAAAAACAAAGAGACAGCGGGAGCAGAGGAAAGGGAAACTAGTTCCATTGTCAAGGGCGTGGGTCAAGGCAAGCGGTTGTCCTGGCAGATGGCAGAACTCAGGTCAGAGGGGTGCTGGCTAGGTCCTGGGGATACCTGCTTAAGGGACGTTTAGTTTCTGGAAGGCCCATTCCCCGCTTCCTGCCTGTTCTCCCTGGTGTGGAGAGAGGGCTCACCTGCCTGGCTGAAAGCCAGGCCAGGCAGCATAACGGGCCAGGGACAGTCCTTGGCCTTGGCTGTACCCAAGGAGCTTGCATTGTGCTGGGAGCCTGCCAGAGGACCCTGGGTTTCCAGGGCAGAACGGAGCCAGGATAGACTGCAGGGTCCCCATGGGACGCCCTGCCTCACTCCACACACAGGGCTGGCCCCCAAGCCAGTTGCCTTTGCTGACTGCCACCTTGTCCTTCTTCCAGGCCCTGCAACTGGTTCCTCTTCAGCGACGTCCTGAAGAGTCTGAAGCTGTCCTCCCGGATCTTTCAAGCCCGCTTCCCGCACTTTGAAATCACCACCTTGCCCAAAGCTGAGTTCTTCCGGCAGGTGGCCTCCAGTCAGCTGCTGAGCCCAGCCGAGAGGCCTGCGGGCATGGACGACAGCTCCCCACCCGGCGCCTCGGAGACTGTGGAGCTGGTGCGCTATGAGCCGGAGCTGCTCAGGCTCCTGGGCTCTGAGGTGGAGTTCCAGTCTTGGAGCAGTTGACCAGGGAAACAGCCCCCTACGGCAGTCCTTCTCTTCTTTCTCCTCCCAAGTTTGCCCTTCCCCCCCACCCCCAGCTTCACCTCCCATGTCTCCTCTCTCCCCTGCCCCCCTCCACCGAGCACCAGACTGCAGAATGAGGCAATAATACGGACCAACAAGAAGCCGCCTTATTAATGCCAGCATTAGTGACTGGATTTGTTTGTTTGTTTTGGTTACAATTAGTTCTCATCTCCCTGTCCTTGTTGTTGCAGTTGGTGATGGGGGGATGGGAAGTTGAAGTTCACGTCTGAGGCCGGTGGGAGGTCCCCCAGTGGTGGTGGGAGGTGGCCACCACCAGGGTCCAGAGGTTCTCTGGACAGGCCTTTTCACATGACACCTGACACCACAGCGGGTGAGAAAGGAGAAAAAGCCTGAATCTCTGAGCAGGGGTGGGAAGGGCCCCGCCCCCCATCCCCCTGTGTTCTCCTGTCTGCCATAGTATTTATTTTATTAGTATTTAATTTGTATTGTTTCATTGGTTTCTGATAAGTCTGTATCACTGTGACAATTTGAGACAACTCGTTTTGTTGAGGGATATTCTTGACCTCCTTTTCCTTTTCTTTCCTTTCCTTTCCTTTCGTTTCCTTTCCTTTCCTTTCCTTTCCTTTCCTTTCCTTTCCTTTCCTTTCCTTTCCTTTCCTTTCCTTTCGTTTCGTTTCCTTTCCTTTCCTTTCCTTTCGTTTCCTTTCCTTTCCTTTCCTTTCCTTTCCTTTCCTTTCCTTTCCTTTCGTTTCCTTTCCTTTCCTTTCCTTTCCTTTCCTTTCCTTTCGTTTCCTTTCCTTTCCTTTCCTTTCCTTTCCTTTCCTTTCCTTTCCTTTCCTTTCCTTTCCTTTCCTTTCCTTTCGTTTCCTTTCCTTTCCTTTCCTTTCCTTTCCTTTCCTTTCCTTTCCTTTCCTTTCCCTTTCCTTTCCTTTCCTTTCCTTTCTGGAGCAGCTCCGGGCTGCTCCCTCCCGGGGTTCACCCCCACCCCAACCCCGCTGCGGGGGAGGGGTGGCCCTTGGGGGCCTGAGAGCTGTGGGTAAGTAAATGCCGGGGCTTTGGTGCTCCCCTCCACCCGCTGCGCCCCCTCTCTCCCTTTCTCCCTGCCCTTGGCAGCAGCCCCACCATTTTCTAAGGAAGAGAGGATTGTGGGGTGAGGGGGGGTGACACGTCAACAAGTTACCCTCATAAAGGAACCTTGAGAAAGGGGCCTCCCAGGGCCTCCCCATCACTGTTTTCACTGTTCCCTCAGAGCCCACAGCAGGGGTTTCTTCTGCCCCCCTCAACTGCACCTGTCCTTCCGCCCCAAACTCCCACCCCCGTTCTGACATCCTGCCCCAGCCCAGATACTGAGCCTGGCACCTCTCAGCCCTCTAGGCCTCCCATCCCTGCACCTGCCTCCACACACCTCTTTCTCCCACTTGCCCCTTTCATTCTTCCCAGAAGCTGCATGCACACATGCGCGCAGGGGGGCTGGGAGAGAAGGCCACAGAAGAGACCCGGGCCAGAGCAGGGCACTGGCCTTCTGCCTGGGGACCTGGGCCAATGCACACACCGCCCCGCACCCCTCAGGCTGCCCTCCCAGCCACCGCAGGGCCTCCAGCACTGGGGGGCGGGGGGGGGGGGAGGGAGCGGGGTGGCGAAGCTGGTAACGGAAAAGCTGGTGTGGTCTCCTTGTCCCCCACCTCCCTACGTGGCAGTGTCTTTCTCCCTCTCACTCTTATTTTTCTACCAATTGCTATTTTTCCGAACAATCCTTGTAGAGAGTATGTATCATCATTCAAAGGCAGGAGGGCCTCGTTGTGGCCAGCCCTGGTTGAAGATGGTACAGTTTTATTGTACAGGTGCTAAAAACAACAACAACAAAAGAAGAAAATGGGGAAAAAAAAAAAAAGACAAAAAAAGCAAAAAAAAAAAAAAAAAAAGCCAGTTTGAGAATGGGACAGTCTGTTCCCTGGAGGCTCCCGACCCATGCAGGAGCCTTGGTGGTTATTTTTGTTGTATTGTGTTTGTTCTTCTTTGTTCCCCGAGGATGGGGGGAAGTTCTGGGTCCCCTTCTGTAGACTGCTCCCCCAACCATACTGCCCAGTTGGTTTTGAAGTTGTTCTCCCTTTTAAAAAAAAAAATATATATATATATATAAAGTTGAGGGACTTTGAATTTTAATTGTTTTGGTTTTGCTGAGGTTACTGGTATTGTGTGGTTTATGTTTTTGTTTGCTTTTACTTTTTTTTTTCCGCATTCAGGTGTGTATTCTCGCTGCCCTTGTTTCATTTGAAGCAAATGGTTGTAGAGTCAAAAACACTTGCATACTGAAAAAAAAAAAAAACCTGTGTCAGGGCTTCTGTCTGCCGGCTTGCTTTTCTCTCTTCCTCCCCCCCTCGCCCCCACTCCTACCCCTGTCCACCCCATGTGACTTTGAAGAAGGTGGGTATCCCAATGCAAGAAATGGGGACACTGCAATTATATTTTGCAGCTCCAGGTAGGCAGGGCTGCAATTGAAGGAAGGCAAGGTGGAGTAGCTGGTGAACAACAGGTGGATCAGTGAACTACCTTGGAAAGAAAATGCAATGCACAGAACAAGGGGGGGTGCGGAGGAAGAGCAGAGTGCAGGGGAGCCAGTGGGTGGAAAACTGAGTATTTGAGTTACTTTGCAGAAAAAAGGTGTGTGCGCACACGTGCACACCTGTGCACCAACATTCCTTGTCTACCATAGGATAGGGCAGTAGCATTGGAAGATGGAGCCCTCATTTTTGGTGGCCCTGGGGAATCATTCTCCATAATGAAACCACCTGCCCCCTGGTTAACTTTCCTGCTGTGGGCCACCCAGCCATTCTGGCTTCTGGCTCCCTGAGTCTTCTCATTGGCTTCCACGTTGGGCCAGGGCCTGCTTGCCCACCCATGCAGTACAAGCGTGCCCCTGGTTCTGGTTTCCTACTGCCCAGCTACCATGAAGGCAGAAGTGCACACGGAGCTGACAAATTGCCTCCCCAGTTCCGGAAGGACAGTGGTAGGAGCCGGGATCCCTTGATTGCTGATGGCTCCAAAATGTGCAGGGGGCGGGGGAGAGAAAGGTTCATGAACAGCCTGGGCTGAGGACCCATTAACACACATTGTTAAGCATTGAACCATCACCCCAAGCTCATATGGGCACCAGTTCATATCCTGGATGCTCCACTTCCCATCCAGCCCCCTGTTTGTGGCCTGGGAAAGTAGCAGAGCACGACTCAAGGCCTTGGGTCCCTGCACCCATGTGGGAGACCAAGAAGCTCCTGGCTCCTGGCTTCAGATTGGCTCAACTCTGGCTATTTCAGCCATTTGGAGAGTGAACCAGTAGTTGGAAAATCTTTGTCTCCTGCTCTCTATAAGTCTCCCTTTCAAATAAAAATAAAATTTTTAAAGAAGCAAAACAGAAATTACAGGGGGCAGAGAAGACTTTGGAACTAAGCAGACAATGTGAGCAAAGGCTTCTGGACGAAGGACAGTTTCCTTGCTTTGGAGTCCCTTTGTTGAGAGTCCCATTGCTAGTGTGGCAGTTTATAAACATGGAGACAGGAGGTATGTGGGCCAAGAGAATAAATCTGCACCCAGTTCTGGGATGGAGTGGAGTACTTATTCAACAATCTCTATTCGAATGATTGAATCTTTTAAGTGTTGTGTAGGGGAGAGGGCCAGCTGATACCGGGTGAGAACATCACCTTTCTTAACCTTGACTGGTCCATCTGGGAAATGGGGCCCGAGTAAGCACCCAGAGCCCAAACAGACTCATGCAGAAGGTGAGTCTTGGCTGTTGGCTGACATTACTGCCAAGGTCACAAGCATGATGACCGTGTCCCACCCTCAGTAAGCCTGTTGGCAGGGGTGGGTATGCATGCAAATTGAAATGGGGTCTGTTCCACTGGCACACTGTTTGGCTGCTCCTGAGAGGCCTTGAAGGGCTTGGACCTGACGTACCCCTCTGCCAGCTGGGCTGGAGTTCCACATATTACCCTAGAATACAGATTTCCACCCCCGACGGGGGCTGGCCAGTCAGGAGCTGGGTGTGGGCGCCAGGCTTCTGGAGCCAGGGCTCACGCGGCGGGTGGGTCAGGGCCGTCAGGGCCAACGGATGTCACAACGCCTCAGTCGCTCTGTGATTTCAAGGCAGAAGGACGCGGCGCATGAAAAGTAGCTAAATGCAGGCCCGGGTGGAGAGTGGGCCAAGAGGGAGGCGGCGGGGACTCTGGGCTTACTTTGGCTGCCCCCGCAGGAGGCCGGCCGAGCCCGCCGCCTGCTCACCTGCTGGTCTGCACGCTTGGGGGAGGGGGGCTAGGGAGGACATGCAGAGACGGAGCCTACGCGCGACCTGCCAATAGGGCGAGTGCATTCGCTGGTTTGGTAAATTTCCCCTGGGAAGTGCCAGGGGGCTGGTGGGAAGGGGAAAAGTTGGAGGATCCCGAGCTGTGGAGGGTGTCGGTGGGGGATGCGGGGACGCGAGTGAGGGGTGGGACGCGGCTGGCCGCCCGGCCCTTCACGGGCTTCGCCGAGGGGGGGTGGGGGGAGGGGACCTCGCCGGCTTAGTAGCGCCACCTACTGGGGACCGGCGCCTCTGCGCCCGGGGTACCAGGGCCGGGGCTCTTGGCTGGCGGGTTGGGACCCCCGAGGACCGGTTGGGCCGACTCTGGCTTGAGCGGCTTTGAGAACCACTCAAGTGCGTCGCTTGGTATGCCCTCTCCCTGGATGCGGAAAGACCCTCACAATAATTTTGGTCTTGCTCCACCCACCGAGGCTTGCATTTTTCACTGCTGAGTTCCATCCAGCGGGGAGGAAATGGCTGAGGCAGCTCCTGGAAGCAGCCTCACGGAGCCTCCACGGGACAGCAGCTGAGTCACCTGTGTAGTGCTGTGGCGGTGAGACACAGTGGGCGACAGCCCAGGGCTGCTGGTGCTCCCTGCTGTGGTGGGGGGGTTGCGACAGAGACAGGCAAAGGACCTGGCTGCCTTGCTTCCCTGACTCGTCCTGGCCCGCTCTAGGCTAGGGCATACGTTTCTGTAATTAAAATCTGCCTTTGTTCTGTCAAGAAACATTTATTGAGCACCTACTGTGTAGATGGCGCTAGGCATACACAGCAGTGACTAAGACGTCAGCCCGTCTTTGAGTGTATATGGAACGCATCAAGGTTTGAGGCGCGACTCTGCGACTCTCAGAGGCAGAAACAGAGTGCTGGGCAGCCAGGATCGGCATGCATGTTGCAGCCAGGAAAGGCTGGGTCAGCTCTGGACTCTGCAAAGGCACGCCTGTTGGTACTATGTGACCCTGGCCAGAGTGGACCTGCTACCTGAGGCTGTCATGGGGCCTCTTCTGATTCAATCAGAAAGTGTTGACACTTTTGAATTGGAAAGAAAGTGGCCAGAGAAGTTTCTGGAGGGGCAGAGCATGTTCCAAATCGTAACAAGTCTTGGGGGTGTAAGGTGGGAGAGGGGAATGCTGGGAAGGGATGAGGAGAGCACTGAGCAGTGGAGTCCATGCGGGAGGTCAGAGGTCACTGACATCCACAACCGGGCCACGCAGCTCAAGCAGTCCTCACCATCAGCTTTAATCTTGTAGCTTGGTGCTGTCCCCATCCCCTAAAGAGGGAGCACCCTCACTTGGGAGACTACCGAGGTAGTTTGTGGTAATAGAGCACTGAGGTAACAGTTTGTGGTCACATCACAGGTTCACCGCAAAAGCTGACGGGAACTCACTGACCAACAGGCTGGCTGCTCTGGGGCAGGGACTCCAAGAAGTTTGGAAGGCTGCGTGGTTTGGTGGGTTCCAGCAAGGGGCCAAGCACATTCTCATCAGGAGCCAGAGGGACAATCTTGATGGCAGGCTGAGGGCTTGGGCTTTGTCTGAAGGAGGAACTGGTGTCTGGGACCCGCTGCCCTGGAGATCTGGCCAAGCACTCACCCACCCCACTAAAACCCAGCACCGACCTGAGGACTTGGCAACCATAGGGTTCCTGCCAGCTGATTTATGCAAAGAGGTTGGAGGTTAAAGATTTTGAACCTCACCCCCTACCTGGAGTCTTTGGAAGCTTTTAAACCAAGGAGGGACTGAGGGGAGTCGGGGACTGGTGTCCCTGGTGGTTAGACCTTGCCAGCCTGTGGCCTGTCTCAGGAAGAGGGGAGGCTGTAGGAAGTGGGGGTGAGTCTGGAGGCCCTGGCAATCCGGCCTTTTAGAGATGCTGCAAACTTTGTGGCACTTGGGGATGGGTGGCACGGGGACAGGTTCCAGGGAGACTATCAAATAACTGTGAAATTCCCAGCCAAGGTTTGGAAAATGGTGGCGCCATGAATGGAAACAGGCAAGCGATGATGGCTTTTTGCTTTTATTACAAAGGGAGTGCCAGTGTGTGTGTGTGTGTGTGTGTGTGTGTGTGTGTGTACACGCACATGCGCACATGGCGGAGACAAATAGATCAGGTGAGCCCAGAGGTTGGGGGTTAGGGGTTCGTGCACTGAGACTTCCAAGATTTACCTGAGTCAGGGGTGGGGTGGGCACACAATACCTTTGAGTAGTGACCTTCTTGAAATACTTACATGGAATGATCAGAAAATTGTCACGATAAACTGATTTTTATTAGAAAAAAAAAGGAGAGAAGGCACTTTAATGCCACACGGGTAGTAACTGCACCCGCACAACCACATATATTGCCCTCTCCACAGACGGGGAGGGGAGAACAGAAAGTGGGGGTGGGAGAGAACGGCCAGGGGAGGTAGTTAGGTCAGGTGGATGGTTTTGTGCCCAGTCCTGAGGTCCCGAGGCACGGATTCACATTTACCAAATTCCCTGGAGAGGAGGTGTCCTGGAGGCCAATGTTTCTCAACCTTGTTCGGCCCTAACCTGGGCGGGAAGGTGGCAAGCTGGTTCACAGCAGGGGGATGGGGGGCAACAGTCCCATAGCCACGGGAGGGGTGGCAAAGTACCGTCCCTCCACCCCAGGCAAACAGCAGGGACTGTGCATGCAGGAGGAGCTACGGAGGTGGCTCTGAGCTAGGTCACTGCCTGACTTCCCCTCCCACCCCCCGTGGCACATAGCAAGTGGGAAGGAACAGCCCGGAACCTGGCTGGGACTGGCTGCTTCTAGAGCGGCACTTGGTGTTTCATGGAGCACCTGCCACTATGATGACTGTGGTAGGCAATGAGGCAAGCACACAGAGTCTGCAACCAACCCGCGCCCTGGGTTCCTAAGGCTTGCTTCTCTCCCTTGCTGAGTGCCATGGTCTCCTCCAGCCCCAGCATCCCTTGTCCTGATGCCGTTATGCACCATCAGTCCTGTGTCAAAAAACTCAATCTAGGTTTCTATAAAGCAAATTCAAGGATGCTTTCCCTAAGTCCCCACCTCTGTGGCTGAACCCTGGAGGGACAGACAGAAAAGGCACACGCACCCTCCAAAACTAGAGTTCACGACCATGCCCTTGTTCTCTCCAAAGAAGCTACAAGATAGACCCACAAGCCACAAGTATACACACATGCACACACACCAAAAACCAAAACCAAAACAAAACAAAACAAAAAAACACCCAGAGAGATTCACATATGGGGCCATCACCCCGTGTAGGGAACAGGGACAGGGAAAACCAGTCAGGCACAAGGACTCAGAAGCCTGGCAGTAGCCCTGCCGGCAAGCTCGCAGGTTCAAAGGCTCTACCTGCCATTACCAAAGAGCCCATTTGACTGCCAAGAGAATATCCCCTTAGGGCTCTGGAGTGCCATGGTCAGATGTCAGGGATCCCCCACCTGGTCATGGTGAGACCGGACAGGGCCTGGGGCTGGAGGGGTGGGGAGGGTGAGTGAAAGTAATGAATCCTACTGAAATGTAAAGGGTGGCCATGCTACATAAGTCAGCCCATCCCACAATGCTGCTCGGCTGTACTGGCGAGCTCACACTTCTCACCACCTGCTCATTTACATGTCACGGGACTCCATCTTAATGAGCGAAGTGGGGTTAAAGGGAGAGAAGGGAGCTGGGGTGGGTGATGTGGTGGGCAGGCTTCCAGCTGTGCTCATGCTAGGTTCAGCCATCGGGAAGGACCCTGAGCCTGAGGCAAGCTCAAGTTCAGCCACTGGGGTTAGCCCAACAGAGGGGCGTCTGGGAGGAGAAAAAGTCTGGCTCCCCGTAAGGCTTGCATTCTGGGGAGCCCTGGAAATGACCTGGGCCGGGAGTGGCTGGACATGAGCCTGATCCCTCAGAAGCTCCCTCAGGGTCTCTTCGGGCACCAGCAGACCCTCCATAGGGGCCCCGGTCACGGTGCCCTGCACGTAGGGGGAGGACTGCAGGGGACCCTCCTTGACCCCTGGGACTGCACCGGAAGTTCTGATGAAGGCAGCAATGACAGTCCCAGGGGGCTGGGAGCTAGACCCTGCTGAAGAGGTACCCGAGACTGAGGTGGCTACAAGGTGGTTGGTGGGCCGGCTGGCCCCGGTCAGGAGCTGGGGGAGCCCACTGAGAATCAGCGGGGTCCCTGTAGCTGTAACCTGGCTCTCTTGGAAAGTGGCATTCAGGGGAAAGGAGGCCTGCAAGGTGAAGGTGTCCTTGAATGTGTTCGAGGCAGGAGGCACACTCTGCAGCACAAGCTGAGTAGAAGTAGTAGTACTGGCAGGAGGCCCGTTGGTCAGCACTGTGGTCAGCGGGATGGTCTGCAGGGTCAAGGCTGAGCCTGATGCCACCGGTGCCACTCCCAGTTGGATGTTGGCAGGCACGGCTGCCGCCGCCGCCGCACTGCAAAAAAAGGATGGAAAACAGAGTTGCCTCGGGCAGTAGGCTCGCCCTTGTCTGGCCAGCCAGGAGGGTGTGCTCACAAGGAATGGAGCCCGAAGGGGTTCTGTTCCTTCGTGGTTGTCTTAGCTAGCCCCAACTGAGTGTTTAACATTCCAAGTGGCTGATGGCTAGGCAGGCAGTTCACCCTAAGGCGAAACAGTACACAGACTGAATACCGACTCTCTGGCTTTGCAGCTTGAGGAAAAAAACTGAGGCAGCCCCCCTCTCCCGCTTACCCCCTAACTCCCCCGCAGTGCAAGGGACCGTAAGCACTAGAGCAGAGACTTGGCATCCGAGCCGGGCAATATCCGAGCCCACCATCCCTCCCTCTTTCCTGCCTCCCCACCCATTGAAAGAGCATCTGGGCTCCCCAGGATGGGCTAGAGAAGGACTGGACATGATGATCCACACTCCAGTCACTTCAGGGGGCAAATGGGAGGTTCTGTGACGGTACCCCAAGGCCCAATTTCAAAAACAACCTGAAACCTCCAAAAACTCAAGGGAAGAGCTGTTAGTGGCCTTGGCGTCCTTACCTCCCGGCTATGGTGAGTTTGGCCTGGGTGTCTGGGACAGAGACCAAGATGGCAGAGGTAGTAGGGGTCTCTGAGTTTGCAGGCAGGCCCACATGCTGCAGCTTCGGCTTCTCCCAAGAAGAACTGGCCTTGCCCTGGGGGGCCGCTCGGGCAGACATCCTGGAGCTGACGCGACGGCTACCATTGCTGCCGCCACTGCCGCCACCAGCACCATCGCCAGCACCGCCACTGCCGCCAGCACCGTCACTGCCGCCGGCACCAGAGGAGGATGCAATGGCCTGTGAGGGCCCTCCTGGGCCATCCCTTTTCTCGTCCTCATCTTCAATCACCACCAGATCCTTGGGCATCTCCTTAAACTGGTACACCAGCCGCTGCCCTTCCACCTTGGCCAGGATACCCCTCTGATAGTAATACCTGGGCACCCGGGATAGAGACAGAGTTAGCCAGGGACTGAGTAAGGGTGGGGGCAGGGGCTTTTCTCTCTTTCTGATTTGTACAAAGTGCACAGACAAGGGCCCAAGGTTAATACAAAGGGGGCTGTGCGCAGGGGCAGACATGGCAGGCAGAGGGCCGGGCAGGGAGAGAGACTCCTAGGACACAAGGAGCCCCAGAGAGGGGCAGGGAGCATCACCCCACACACACACCCCTGGAGCAGCTGCTTACCTCAGCGCCCGTCCCATGGTCTCGTAGTTCATGTCCGGCTTGTTTTTCTGCTTCCCCCACAGCTTGGACACGGCTTTGGAGTCCACCAACTTAAAGATGCCTTTCTCTCGTTGGGTCCACTTGATGTACTTGGGGCAGGTGTTCCGGTCTTGCAGGAGCGCCAGGAGGAACTCCCATAGGTACACGCTACTGCCTGCAAATGGCCCAGCCCCAGCCCGGAGGGCAGCGTCAGGAGCCAGCCCAGGCAGCACCCCAGCTGCCTGTCCAGCCACCTCCCCAGGGCTTGCCACCATACCTTTGCCGTCCTTAGATTTCTTCCGGATGGGGACGCTGGGATCAGTAACAGGCGATGTACTTCGGTTGTTCTTTGTCTTCCGTACTTTGGAGGTGGGGGGAGAGGCAGGGAAAACAGGATGAGATTGGGGCTGAGAGGAGGCCAGGCTCCTGAGCTAGGGGACTCTGTAGCTGGCCAGGCAGGTGGACCAGGTTGTTGGTCCTGCAGGTACCTGCACTTGCATCTGCTTATGTGGGTGGGTGGGGGTGGGGTGGAATGTGGTGGTACTTGGGTAACTACAATCCGGTCCAGCCTACCTCTGGAAGGGCCAGACGGCCTAAGGCACCGTGATCTGGTTGTGTAGATCAGCGCAGTGCTGGGGTTCAGTCACCATTAGGACAGGTGAATCAGTAACACAGGGGCTTGGGAAAGCCCAAAGTCCTCCTCATATGTGGTCTCTGTTTCCTGAGCTTGGCGGTGGAGAGATAAGCTCACCGCGTGCTCTGGCTGCGCGTCCAGACACTGGGGGCCCGGGGACTGGCCAGAGGCCCACGCCTGCAGCCGGGATGCTGTCCACTCTGAGCACATGGCTATTTCTGGGAGAGCTTAGGTGTGTGCACAAAGCAGACAGCAGCACATGGGCTGTAGTGGGCTGTCTTTGTGTGGGGAATCTCAGGCCACAGGGCTCTTGTAACCACTCCATAACCCCCTCCACGCAGCCCCTTGAAGATAATCATACACACACACACACACACACACACTCACTCACTCACTCATGCATGCACACTCTGGCCTTACTTCTCTTTTTGGATTTGCCGGTCTTCTTGGAATGGTCCTCCTCGGAGACCTCCAGGTTAAGCTGCTGGTTGTCACTTCCACCCACACTGTGGAGGCCAGAGGGCTCCATGGTGGACTGCACACAGCTGGACAGAGGAGCAGATTGCATAGGCTCGGCTTCTGGGAGCATTTCGGAGGGACTGACTGCAAGAAGAGAAGGCTGCGCTAGGTGAGGCTCAGGGCGGGGCTCCTGGCGTGTGCTCCACCCCGTGGGAGGCGGCTCTGGACACAGGATACACCCAGAATAGCCTTCTGTGTCCTGCAGTGGTCACCAACTAGCCCCGATCATAGCCCAGTAAAGTTCCAGCTGGCATGCAGGGTCAAGGGCCACATGAATTTAGCCACGGATGCATTTCACAACCCCATGGGGCCTGAGGGATCGTTCAGCTTGGAGGCCAGTGGCAGGGTAGAGCAAGTTAAGCCTCTTCCTATAGCACCAGCATACCATATAGTGCTGGTTTGTGTCCCGGATGCTCCACTTCCCATCCAGCTCCCTGGTGATGGTCTGGGAAAGCAACAAAAGATGGCTCAAAGCCTTAGGCCCCTGCACCCACGTAGGAGACCTGGAAGAAGCCCTTGATTCCTGGTTCCAGCCCAGTACAAGTCTAGCCATTGTGGCCATTTGGGGAAATGAACCAACAGATAGAAGGTCTCTCTCTCTCTTTCATTCTCCTTCTGTAACTCTGCCTTTCAGATAAAAATATTTCTTTTCATTTGAAAAGCAGAGTTATAGACAGGAGAGACAGAGAAAGTCTTCCATCTGCTGGTTCACTCCTCAAGTAGCTGCAAGAGCCGGAGCTGAGTCAATCTGAAGCTAGGAGCCGGGAGCTTGTTCCGGGTCTCCCATGTGGGTGCAGGGTCCCAAAGCTTTGAGCCATCTTCTACTACTTTTTCAGGCCATAAGCAGGGAGCTGGATGGGAAGCAGAATAGCCAAGACATTTACTAGTTCCCATATGGGATGCCAGTGCTTGCAGGAGATTTAGCCTGTTGAGCCATGGCACAGGCCCCAAAGAAATACATTTAAAACAAACAAGCAAACAAAAACAAATCATTGAGCTCAATTCCTCTGCTCTTGTGATGAGATGGACCAGAGATGGCAAGTCACATGCCCAGTGGCACACAGCGTGGGAGCCCTCAGTAATCTTGGTTGGATCCTCAGAGAGTATTTCAATGCCTTTTTGGGAAAAAGCAGTCTTTGGGAGACAGGGAGCTTTTGTCCTGTGAGGGGGTCTGATGAGGAGCATGGCTCATGCCCTGGGGACTCCTGGCAACTTGGGAGCCAGGCAGGAGGAACAGGGAGGTAGCTCCAAGGCAGGTATTTTCTGATTAAATCACAGACTGTTGTTTGCCTTGGTCTTCCCAATAGCCATACACGTGACGTTGCAGACACAGTCCAGGGCAGGCTCCCAGGGGCTGGGAGAGAGGAAAGGGCAGGGCTGATTCTTCCTGGGAATAGAACTGCAGTTCTCTAAGGCGAAAAGAAGCCTGAAGATGGGTACCGGTTCTAGGTCAAGTGTGGCAGAACTGCATGCTGCAAGATGGTCTCTGCAATCCATTTGGGGGTCATGTATATTTTATCCACAAGTTCAAAACTGGCAAGCAACCAAAATCCAAAAACTCACCCCTTGGTCGCCTCTCCCTTGACTGTGGTGCCCTCATGCCCCTCTCATACCAGTCCTAGCTTGATGACTTGTATGAGCGGCACTTCAAAAACTTCATAGAAATGGAATGAACACCCAATTTCACTTGGATACAAAACAAAAACAAACAAACAAAAAAAGGAAACTTGTGCCTCAATTTCTCGGGCGATATATTTTCCATGAATTTTTTGAAGACCCCTCCTCGTAGATAGGTGGCTGTGGGTATGTAGGGCCAGGGTGCACACGAGCCTGAGAATCCAGTACCTGTAACTTAACATTCTCAAAAGGAACATCTGTGAGGCACGAAGGCAGGGGTTGAGGGAGGGGTGCTCTTTCAGACTTACAGATCTGTTTCTCGTCCAGGGTGTTACTGGGAGATTCCACATCAAGCAAGACTTCAGTGGTGGACACGGTGTGTGAGGTGGCTTCATTGTCATCTGCTCCCAGTTGCGTGAGGATGTGGGGGAGAAAGGAACAGTGCTCAGTGTCCAGGCAAGGGACATCCTGGGAGCCTGGGGTGGGGGGTGGGGGGAGGCCCAGGAGCCACTAGAGACCTGGGGTCTAGGGGACAACTGTGTGGAAGGAGGCAGTGTCCCACCCGCTTACCTGACCTCTCCACCCCGCCCTCCTGGCACCCCATCCCGTGGGGCTCCCTTGGCATAGCTTGCTCCTGCATGCAGCGCAACACTCCCTTTGTCTGGGGAGCTTGTCCCTTCTGCCTGGTGTTTACTAATAGACACAGTGACCTGGGTTCCCTTGAGGCATAACTCTGTTCCACACCCCACCTTCGGCATCCAGCCAGAGAACAGACCTGCCAGCAGAAAACTGCCCTCAAGGATCTGGTCTTGCGCCATGCACAGGGCCCCGTCGGTGATGACACCATTGTGAGCGTCATCCAGCTCCAGGCCCGAGTAGAGATGCAGCAGTTCTGGATAAGGTACCTGCTCCACGATCACAGCCGGGAACACGGAGGGGTCTTCCAGCTGTGGACGAGGGGGCAGAGGAGACAGCTGGGCTCGCTTGCCCCTTCTTGGAAGCCCTCCCCACCTTCCCTTTATCTCTGGAGCCCTTGCCTTTGGAGGGGCTGGCTGGGGGCTGCCCTTTGTAGTTTGTATCTCTTAATCTAGGTCCAACCTCTCTCTGGGTGATGCTTTGAGGGGCTCTTGATGAATAGAGATGGGTTAGTTCTAGACTGCCGCCGCTCGACTAACTGGGTTAGGTTGCTTGCAGATCCGGCATCCCTTAATCTGAGCATTGGTTCCAGGTCCAGCAGCTCTATTTCTGACCCAGCCCCCTGTTAACGTGCCTGGGAAGGCAGTGGAGGGCAGCCCAAGTCCCTGCACCCACATAGGAGGTCCACGTAGAGTTCCTGACTTTCGGGTTGACCCAGCCCTGACTGTTGTAGACATTTGAGAAATGAACCAGACGAACCAGCAGATGGAAGACTCTCTCTTTCTCCCCTCCCTCTCTTGCCCACCTCCCCCATCACTTGGCTTGCCAAATCAAGCTTTCTGTTTTCCCCAACAGTGCAATCGCAGCTGTTTTCTTTTACAAAACTTCTAGAAGGAACTATATAAGGATGCTACTGGTAGTTATATTTTAGCTCTCTTGGGTGATTTTCTCCCCACTTCTTTCTATTTTTCTGTTTTCCACATTTCCTGTCCTTAATCCTTCTTCATTACAATGTTTTTGTGCAACTTTCATCAGTGTTTTACTCAGGAGAACAGGATGAGAATGATTCTCCCCCGGTGACCCTGAGCAATCAGGTTTGGCCTTTGACAGTCAACCTGGCTGAACCAAGTTCAAGGCAGTTCTGGGATCCCCAGGCAGGGTTACAAGTGATCTCGGAGAAGATGGTCCAGGGCACACAGGCAAGGGGAGTAGCCAAGGCTGCCATGCTGTCTGGAGCTGTGCACCAGAAGAGCCATGGCAGCTTATTTACATTCCACTACACTCACCGCATTTCAGATGCTCCCATAGCTACAGGTGGCTAGTGACCCCAGACTGGACAGCATATGGAATAGTTGCAATAGTCCAGAAGATTCCATTGGATTTTACTGATCTAGAGCAAGACTGCCTGGGTTGAGACCAGGCTATATTTTAGTATGAACAGAGGCAAGCTGCCTAACTATTTTGTATGTCAGTTCCAACCGCACAGGGCTGTGTAAACAGATGGCCACAGGAAAAGCCCTCTGCTCAGGGCTTGGCCAACTGTAAATTCTCGGTAAGCACCAGGTATGAGGAGCTTTTGGAAAATCTGACATTTTATTTCTTAACCTGGACTTGTTTTAGAGTTATCTAATCATCATCCTGACTTACATACTCTTTTGTATTCATGACATATTCTGCAATAAAAACTGTCTCCTACAAAGAATGAAAAGGGGTTGGGGAGCGGGGAGGAGGCTGGTGCCATGACAGAGCAGCTTAAGTCATTGCCTGCAATGCTGGCATCCCATAGAGTTGCCGATTCAAGTTCTGACTGCTCCACTTTTGATCCAGCTCCCTGCTCAAGTGCCTGGGCAAGCAACACAAGATGTCCCAAGTGTGTGGGTCCTCACCACCCAAGTGACAGACCTGGATGAAACTCTGGATCCCTGGCTTCAACCTAGTGAGCCCAGTGACTGAAAAACCTCTCTCTCCCTCTCTCTATGCAACTTTGCCTTTCAAATTCACAAAATAAATCTTAAAAGATTGAAAGGGAAGGACCTGGCGCCATGTCCTAGGGGCTAAAGTCCTCACTTTGAATGCGCCAGGATCCCATATGGGCGCCGGTTCTAATCCCGGCAGCTCCACTTCCCATGCAGCTTCCTGCTTGTGGCCTGGGAAAGTAGTCGAGGACGACCCAAAGCCTTGGGACCCTGCACGTACACGGGACACCTGGAAGAGGCTCCAGGTTCCTGGCTTCGGATTGGCTCAGCTCTGGCTGTTTTGGTCACTTGGGGAGTGAATGATCGGACAGAAGATCTTCCTTTCTGTCTCTCCTCCTCTCTGTATATCTGACTTTACAAATTAAAAAGTCTTAAAAAAAAAAAAAGATTGAAAGGGAAGTGAGAAGATACAAGCCACAGGCGGAGACAGAAGAGAAGATGAAAACTGTGGCGGGCTGCGGACCCCTTCTCTGGAATGCTTGTGACCAGCAAAGCCTTTGATTCCAGGTGTGTCTTGTTTTGTTCTGTTTTGTTTTAAGATCCTGAAATATCTGCACAAACTGCCAGAGAGCATCTCTAATCCCAAGATCTGAGAGTGGAAACTTCAGAGCCGGGTCATGACTCAAAGGGCTTTGGATTGCAGAGCATTTAGGCTTTCAGATGTTTGGATAAGTGTTGCTCAACACATACTTTGAAGTGCTGGGGCAGGGGGAGGCAGAAGGCAGGGAAGGGCTCTCTTTCTCCTTCCTTCTCTCAGATTTCCTTGTTTCACTTGGAAGTCAGAGTTATGGAAAGAGGGGGAGAGACGGAGCTTTTCCATCTGCTGGTTCACTCCCCAAATGGCCAGAACGGCCATGGGTTGTACCAGGAGCCAGGCGTTTCTTGCAGGACCCCCAGGTGGATACAGGGGTCCAAGGACTTGAACCATCCTTTGCTGCTTTCCCAGGCCGAAAAGCAGGGAGCTGGATGGGAAGTGGAGCAGCCAGTATTTTAAAAAGAAATTATGTGATATGCTGGTGCCCCAGATGGAAAATGAGCCTGTTACATCAGCACACTGGCACCTGAAAGCTTTTCAGGGAGATGTTCAGGTTGAAGAGAACTGTTTGTGAGATCTGAAAGATACAGCATTGGTGGGGGAAGGTGACGGATAGTTTCAAGTCTTGGAGGTGGCAGAAGAGCGCACATGAGGCCCAAGGCTGGGTAGGTTCCTCTGGGAGAAAGAGGGATACTTCTCTCTCGCAGCTGAGCAGGGAAGCAATGACAACAAGGGGTAGTAAGGGTAAAAGGTGAGGAAATGGCATTGTGACACAGCAGGTTAAGTCACTGCTTGCAATACTGACATCCCAAATCAGATTGCCTGTTTGAGTCTCTGGCTGCTCTACTTCTGATCCAGCTCCCTGCTAATGCGCCTAGGAAAAAGCAGAAGATGGCCCAAGTCCTTGTGACCCTGCTCCCACATGGGACACTCGGATGGTGTTCTTGGCTCCAGGCTCCACGACTGGCCCAGCCCTGCCAGTCTCCTTCCCTCTCTTCTCTCTGCCTGTCAAATAAACATCTTTTTTTAAAAAAATGTAGAATCCAAATGTTTAAAGATTAAAGATACAGGCCAGCATTATGGCACAATGAGTGACGTTGCTGCCTGTAACCCATTCCAGAGTGCCCGTTGTCTGCTTCTGATCCAGCCTCCTGCTAATGTGCCTGGGAGGGCAGCAGAAGGTAAGCCAATTACCCAGGCCCCTGCCAATTATGTGGGAAACGTGGCTGGAGCTCTGGGATCCTGGATTTGGCCTGGAGCAGCCCTGACTGTTGCAGGCTCTGAACCTGTCTGGCTTGGGAAAGCTGTCTGCTGAGGGTGAATGTGGTAGGTTGGGAGGTAAGGGTAGCCTCTAGGAAAAACAGAAACACTTGTTAGGCAGACCAGATGCACATAAAAAAAATTACAAGTAGCATTAGGAACCCATGGCGGGTCACTTTTTTTTTCCCTTGTCGTCTCTTGCCTTCTCTGGGAGGCTAGGCTCGCCAGTGCTATTCAATTAAATCCAGTAATTTGAGGTGAGGAGCGGGACAGAAAGTGCAATGCACACCAAAGCCCACTAGAGGGCAACCTTTTGCAGGACTCCAGAGAGTTTGACAGTTTTCCATCCTCAAAAGGATTTATGGGATACAGAGCCTCAGAGTTCGGCTGCAATGCTTTTAGTGATAACCCAGTCAAAACTTTTCTAAGCAAAGATGGGAAAGTAGCAGTTGGCACTGTGGCACAGTAGGTAAAACTGTGGCCTATGGTGCTAGCATCCCATATGGGCACCACTTCAAGTCCCAGCTGCTTCACTTCTGATCCAGCTCCCTATTAATGTACCTGGGAAAGCAATGGCCCGGGTATTTGGGTTCCTGTACCCACGTGGGAAACCCAGAAAGATGCTCCTGGCTCCTGATTTTGTGCCAGCCCATTGCCAGCCATTGTGATCATTTGAGGAGTCGGACAATCCCAGTCTTGGGGGCACCCTGTCGTTCCAGAACAGGGCTGTCTCTCCCTCTAGCTAAGTGGGTGTTCCAGCAGCTTTCTCAGTGACACTAGGGGGTGAGGGCTCAGCATGCACCTGCTCACTCCTTTCCCTAGCAGCTCCTTAGCAGATTTGGTGGCTAGGCATGGCATGTAGGAGACCACCGCCCTCCATGCGCCTGTTGACTCTGAACGGGCCCTCTGTGAGTGACTGGTTGGCAAGTGGACCTGGCACCCTGAACACAGTAGGTGCTTGTTCAGTTATGCGCAGGGTGCGTCTGCCTGCCTCCCAGCCTGGGCTGCATGGGCTTTGTTCTCCAGGGCCTGTTACCTGGTGGATGTCATCCATGCCGTTGCTTGCAAATTCGAAGACCAGGTCACTGGGCTGCAGGGTGACAGCCATGCTGTTAGGTCACACAGCTAATAGCAGGGTCCCACAGGAGGGCCCAGGGGAAGAGGGGCTTGGGGGGCTTCTGGATGCAGTGTTGCCGTGCCTCAGAGCCTTGAACCTGCGCTGAGCCAGTAAGATCGGAAGTGGAGACAGCTGCAGCTTGTAGGGGCCTAAGTTGGGCTCAAGGCTGCATGCTGAGCTGAGCCAAGTGCAGGAGCGACCTAGGGACAAAGAGAGAGACAGGGCAATGAGAAAAATCACGTTCCTTGCCCTCTGTTGCCAGAGCCGAAGGACTGTGCCCTACACCAAGGCAGACTGCCAGGGGCAGGATAGACAACAGTAAGGGGAGGGCAGTGGGAAAGGGGGCAAGAAGCAAACAAGAAGGAACCAGGAGAAGAGGCAGTGGACGCAGCCCCTGCAGGGATCAGTGGCCGGGCCTCAATGCCTCTGACACCTGCAGCTCCCTCCCTGCTGCTGGAGGAAGTGACCTGGGGACAAGTACTCTGAAGACTAATGCCTGAATCCCAAGGCATCATGGCAGTGAGGCAAGGGGTGGCCAGTGGGCCTGGCTGTTTACCTTAGGCAGTGGGGGTGATGGGGGAGCTTAGTTGGGAGAGACAGACTCTATAGAGAAGGCAAGATTTCTTGCTGTGGACACTCTGTGTGGGGGGGCAGGGGTTGTGCTTGTCAGGGCTAGCAGCTGGGTGGGGGGAGGGGTGCCCATCACCAGCCAGGCCACGCCACCAGAGAGGAGAGCCTGGCCACAGAGGGCCAGGTGGGCTGCTGCGTGCCCGTGCTGCACCCCTGCCCCCTACGGCCGCCAGCGAAACCAGCCTCAGCCACTTTGTGTGGGTTTTATGTTCTTTGCTTGGCTGTGCTTTCAGTTTCAACACTGTATTGTGGCCCTGGGAACCTGGGAGCAGAGGCCCAGCACCCTGGAATCCGGGGGAGGTGGCAGGGGAGTAGCGGCCACGCAGCCTCCCAGAGCCGGCACAAGCCACTTTTCCAAGCGTCTTTCACTCGCTCACATGCATGAGCGTATCTTGCTGCCCTCCATCCCGCCGCCCCTCGCACTGGAGGTACATGCCCCAAGCCCATCTCTGCAGCTCAATGCCCCTGTTGGGCTGTGCTCTGACACGTTACGGAGACCAGCGGAGTGGGAGGTATCACACCCCTGCCCACCCTGGAAGCCCCATGCCTGGCCTGACCCATCCCTCCAGCTGGCATGCTCTCCCCCTTAGCGTTGCAGGGAACTGGGGAGGGCCATGACACTTCTGTTTGGAGTTCACAGGTGTCTGTGGAGCCAGCACAGCAGGAGAGAGTCATTGGTGCCCACTTCCAGGATGGCCAATTGTCCCCCAGGGTTGGGGTGTGGGGAAATGAGGAACTTGAGAGAGGGGCAAAAGAGAGAAAAGGAGGGGGAGCACGGGTGACCTCCCCGATGACCGCTGTCCCCGATGGGAGACACCCAGGCCTCTCCCACTTCCTTTCCGTTAGCCCACAGGGCCAGCCCCAGCTTTACCCCACCCCTGCCCTCACCCCCACACCTTTCCAGCCCCCACGGGCAAAAAAAAAAAATGCTTGGAGAAGACCTTGGGCTCCACTCTGTTCCACCCGCAAGGTCTGAGACAGTCTGCAGCTGAAGGAGACACGGGAGGCTGCACCCTCATGCAGGCAGGCCTACCAGCAGGCACCTGGACTGCGTGCCCTGCTCCCACCCAGTCCCTCACTAAGCCTCCCAGGGCCATCTCTGCCCGGACAGTCTGTCCGTTCGCTTCAGCGCCCTCATGTGGATGTCTGCATTCCGTAGCTGCAGCCCTCGCACCGTCCTGCCTGCCCCAGGAAGAAGAGCATTTTCTGGCAGAATCCAATAAAAGGTGATCACTTTCACCTAATCCCACTTTGTCTAAACCTGAAACTCTGTGTCTGCCTCACCCAGGCCAAGGCCATTTCGGTGTAACCCTTCCTTTCCGGTTTGCATGTCTCCAGGGCTTCCCTTTCACAGATGGGTGTTTCATCTGTGCAAGGTCACAGTGGCTGCTCAGTGCCTGGGGGATGCCTGCACGTCTTCCTCACCTCCAGCAGTCCACAGTGGTCTCCTGGAAGGCAGGGACCACTCTGCCGGCAACTAAGCGCTTGCTCAGCCCGTTGCCCTGGGCATCGCATGGAGCAGCAGATACTTTGTGTCTAATCACCCCTCGCTGGGCGACTGGTGGTGTTTGCTGAGCATTCTTCTCAGCTGTATGCGTCCAGGTCTACATAGGATGCAACCAGCACCGGGGACTCTTGCTCCCATAAGGCTGAGCAAGGCTGAGCGAAGCCTGCATCCCCCACGAGGTCCCATCTGCAGACTTGGGGCACTGTCCTCATTATCTACGCTGTGGGCACTGCCTGTGTTTGCTTTGCACGTGCCATTTAGGAGGCGTGTGTCTGTGTGTGCAGGGTGCGTGCATGAGTCGCAAGTGTGGGGACATGTGCGTGACAGGCACTGTGTCCCATTGTGGCCAGCAAAGCTGCAAGCTTGGTTCCTCCTCCACAGAGGCAGGAGAATGTTCAGGCCAAGCTGCTGCCCGACTGCAAGAGGCCTATACTGGAGACCAGGGTGGGCTGGCTGCAGCCTGAAGGCTGCCCCTGTTACAGGCGAGGCCCCCACCTTCACCCTCAACACACACACACACACACACACACACACACACACACACACACACACACAGAGTTCACTCTGTCAGAGAGCAGTAGGGAGGGGAGGCAGCCAGAGCAGTGGCCATCAACAAGAGGCGGGGCGGTGAAGTTCAGATCATCCCAAGCACATGAGTCTTGGATCTGCTTCTTATCTGCTCTCAGGACTCAATCGGTACAGTTCCCACCAGCCCAGGACTCTAATCTGCCCCTGCCCCTGATGCTTACGACCATAGCGTGCTCAGTCTCCTACCCTCCCCTCTTGGCCAAGGCTAAGAAAATTCCCTCCCCACTATGCCGTGGAACCTTCCAGTCCCAAAAGCTTTCCCCTTCTCCCTCTCCCCCCCCCCCGTGCCCCCCCCACACACTTTGAGATGTTTTGAGGATTTGAAAGTGAGAGGTGGAGAGAAAGGCTCATTTGCATGTTCACTTACTCTCCGCCCCGAGGTCCCTCAAAATAACCTCCTTCTCCCAAGAACCTGAAACCAAAGAAGCCACCAGCAGGCAGGCCCTCCCTCCACCCTGTTGGAGGCTGGAGAGGCCCACACTGGGGAGGCCACCCCATCCGGCCTCCTCCTGAGCCCTCTGGCCAGATCCTGCCTCCGTGGCTGCAAGCAGGAGATCTACGAAAGCAGACACTTTGTTCAGGGAATTGAGGTGCCTGGGAACCAGAAACTACAGGGATGCTCACTCCCCCAACCAGAGTACAGCTCACAGATGGCTCTAGTTGCCATCTGCTTGACAAGGTGGTCGGAGTTCGTGGGCTTCCCTTCCTGTGGGTTTTCTCCCTCCCTTCCAGGGCCTACCCTGCTGAACTGAAAGCAAAGTGTCTGCAGCAGCGCAGGAGTCAGTGGGTTCAGTGGGGGAGTCAGCATGTGAGGGCCTGAGCATTAGCACCGTGCGGGTGCTGCAGGCACTGCCTCTCTGGGGCTCTGAATGAATTTCCTAATCAAAGGACTATGGAAGCAGCTTGGACTGCTCCATTGTAAGCACAAATGGCCGGTACAGGGCCCTGCTGGGGTTGTCGCTGGAACACACGGAGCAATGGTCAGCACCACCCCACTCGGGCCTCCCTTACAAGCAAGTGGCTCCTGGGCAGAAGCCACATGCACAGTCTCCAGAGGCTCTCCCAGAACGGCTCGGAACAATCGTGCCATTTTCCCATGGGGTCAGGATACATGGGGACCAGGTGGCCAGCCAGGGCCCCAACGCCACCGTCACCACTTCTCCTTCCCCCAGCTCCTTGTCCTTGTAGCCAAGCTCTCACCCCTGAAATACCCTGTCCTTCGTGAAAACCTTTCTGGAATTCTCTGGAAAGGAAGTGACCATTTCCTTCATGCCATTTCCCACTCCCTTGACACCCCTCCCCCACAACCACAAACAAAATGGAAACTACCCTAGGAACAGCTGTGCCCGCTACTTAAAAACAGCCCCTCCTCCTCTGGCTAGGCGTCATCAAGTAGCAGAGGCGCCTGCTGCCCTACCGTAACCAGCACAGAGGCTCTGCAGCCCCCGGCGGAGACAATCCATCCATTGGCAGAACTCAAACCCATAACCTTGGCCAAGTTCAGGCCCAACTCCGGTCAGCAAGCGAGTCCTCCTTGAGCCAGCACCCTGTGTCAGCTCCTTCTCTGTTCCTTTCCTTCTGATGCCTCCTGTACTTGACAATTTCATGTCAAGAAGAGGGAGGGCGAGCAGGCCAGAGTTTTGCAAACTTTTGTTGGTTGGGGTTTCTCTGCTTATTTACAAGAAACCCAGTTTCCTTCCATGCCCCTGGGTCACTGCCTGATTCCAGCTCATGGTTTGTCACACTCCCATGATGAGGTGGGTCTCCTTCATGTCCCCCTCACCCGTCCTCATCCTCTGCTCCCCTCTCCCAGGCTCCCTCTTCAGGTCCGCGATCCATCCCAGGGAGAAGGTGATCAGGGCTGCGGGAGGTGGCAGGCTGCAGGCAAAGAGTTGTCTAGCTTTTCAACTGGGGGAAGAGGGGGTGGCAGGGTGGAGACCCATGGCCCACCCACGATGGTGTCTACCGCCCAGGATGAGGGAGGAGAAGGAGGAGGATGAGAAGGGTCACGCTCTCCTGGCTGCAGCCTCATGTGACTGTGACCCTGAAAAAGCCACCCATCTTTCTGGGCTGTGCTTTCTGTCATCCTTCAAGTGGGTGAGGGTGCAGGGTCATGGAGCCTTAGCAGGTGCTCAGCAGGCAGTCTTGGGTGAGTGAAGGTGGCGGGTGGGAGGCGCTGTGAAAGCGAAAATTCACTCATCCAGATGGTGAATTCCAGGCCACCTCCCAAGCAGCAAGGGGTCAGGGCCCCAATCTGCGGCCTTGAGAGCCCCCAAGGGGCTCCAGAACCCAAGAGAGGGTGGGACTTAGATGGTTATTGGCTGGGAAGGAACCGATTCCTGGCTTGGGTTGGGGACCCTGCACGGAGGGGCAGGCTGGTGCAGTCCCCTGCCCTCCCCAGCATCAACCCCGGCCCAGCCCTCTGGGTTGTGGTTATGTAGCAAGAACAAACACTACAGACGCCCCAAAAAGGGA